ATCAAAAATTTAATTTTAATAAAATTTAATATTTTTATTTTTCCTCAACAAATTTCCAAAATATTTTAAAACAAATTTTTACAAGTTTAATTAATTTATTTTTTAAAAACCTACAGGAATTAAATCTCTATTATTCGTAGTCTTGCATTGTTGTTGATCTAAATTTTGTTGTTGTTCAATTTTTTTATTATTCTTTACATTAATTCTTTTATTCATTAATTTATTAAATATTTCTATTACAAAACAAATAAAAAAAAATAAATAAAAATATATGAATATATTAATTTTTATTTACTCAAACATTTTTCGCTTAAATCAATGAATGAGGATTATTACGTCCAAAAAATTATGCAAAGCTCCTTTAAAAATTTCTTGCGCTTGAAATGAATTTATTGGGCAAATATTTAAATAAAAATAATAGGTAAATAAAAATAAAATTAATTAAATTGTATAAATTTAAATTATTTACTTTAAATAAATTAAAAGTAAAAGTTCATCTCTAAAGGAATATTTTTTGTTTTCAATTAAAAATTCCCTCCAAAATATTTATTTTTAATTAAAATTTAAAAGCTTATTTTGTTAGGAGTAGGAAGGGCTATAAGAATGAGTCATTTACAAAAAGAAAAATATAAGGAAAGAATAATGAAGTAAAAATAAATTGATGGGACACGTGCCGAAATGACAAAAAAGAGAAAGAAATTTATTTTTTAAATGAAAATAAAATAAAATTAAGGAGGAACGTTTATAAAAATTTGTTGAGGAAAGGACACTTAAAGATTGGGAACATTTTTTTGGTTAAATATTTTTTCCTTCCATTATCTCATATAAGGAAAATATTTTCAAAAATAAATATTTATTTTTAAAATTAAAAAAAATAAAATAATTTTTATTAACAAGAATAAAATTGCCAAAATTTTGTTAAAAATCATTCTTTCAGTAACCAGTAAATTTAGCTCATTTTGGTTTTTGGCTGTAGATGTTGAAATAAAAGGAAGAAAATTGTAAGTAGTATAATACGGGTGGTCGGGGGAAGAAAAGGAAAAGATGGTCTTGAAGAAGAAGAAAAAAACACGCGTCAATGAAAATAGGAATTGGCCCATTTGTTGAGCAAAATATCTCGCAAAATATCTCTTTTTTGGGTTAGTCCAGTGGTCCTTTTATTTTCTCTTTTTTTTTCTTGAACCCCACGGGCCATAAAAGGATCCTTCCTTTATATCCAACATTTTCTCTTTTATGTTTCCAATGTTTTTTACTCGATATTCTTTTACGTGCAAAAGCTTTTCTTTGTTTTTGTTGTTCGAGATATATTTTAGAAGGATGTGCTAGTTAAAAATATTATTTTTTTTAAAAAATAACTTTAGTTAAAAAAAATTATAAAAAAAATAAATATTTAAATATAAATTGCAATTAACATTTAAAATAAAAAGCAAAAAAAAATGTTTGCAACGGCCGGGAATCGAACCCGGGCCGCCCGCGTGGCAGGCGAGCATTCTACCACTGAACCACCGTTGCTACGTTAAACTTTGCTATCTTTTACTATTTATTCTTGACATTTTCTTTCAAAAACTGGTTTCTGTTGATATCCAAATGCGTTGCATAAATTTATTATCGGCTAATTTGATCCAAGTAAATTTTTATTAAACGAATAATACATGGGAGGGGCTTTCATTTATGTCTCTAATAACTCACAATTTTATCGTTCCAATGAATTTTCGATTCCCGGCCGTTACGAACATTTTTTTTAATTTTCAGGCAATAAAATTCAGAGACTCCAATCAATTTCAGAGACTCACCTTTAAATTAATTATTTTTTATTTAGGATATCTTGGACGATATTTACATCGTAGATTTACGTCGTAATTACGTCTTATTTACATCAGCTTTTCAGTTTTAGTCCACTCCGTTTCAGCCCCCACTACCGTATAAAAATTCAAAACTGAATCTGAATCCATTTTCATGGGTACGGCCCACCTTGTCGCGCGGCCACCCTGTCGCAGAGCCATAACTTCCTTCAAGTTTTCCGAATCTTACCAAATTTAGTATTAAACGAGACCTCTCATCAAGCCAAAGAGATTGGTACCAAAATTGATAAGGGCCAGAAATTTTTTAGCAAGTTATGGCTCTGCGACAAGGTGGCCGCGCGACAAGGTGGGCGTGTCCCCATTTTCATTTCCCTGTCTTTTTTTCTTTTTCTAGAACGGAAGTGTTGATGTTTATGCTACAATTTCGGCCTGTGCAGATTCCTAAAAAGGATTTCCAGACGACTTCGAAAATACGTCAAAGGTTAAGAGTGGGAAATTAGATAAAAATTATCTTTAATTTCAACAGAAAGTATTGCATAACGCAGAAATTTTTTAAAATTCAAAGTCGCCATTAACGACAATAAATTTTTAATTAGCTAATATATCCGTCATATAAAAAAGTTTATTTCAAAGAATAATCGAAAGAATTTGTATTCTATATGAATGAAAATTATTAATTTGTATTTATTATTTTCATTCTTTAGTAAATTCTTTACTTTCTGATTTTTTATGTTGTCGTGACTGCACACAATCTTTAAATTTATCTTCCATTTCCGTGTTGGTTTATTGTTTAACTAGAAACAGTAACTTTGAAACCATGTTTAACATTTTAAGATTAAGTTTGCCTTTAAAATAAAATGTTAGGTACGTACTTTGTTAATTGCTATTTTTCATCTTTTCTTTAGTCAATTACATTTAGTTTGTCCAATTTTTTGGCCTTATTCATTTTTAACTTTAAATTTTTGCATATTTCTATTTCACAACTGTAAGTGACTCATTTAGAGTCCATTTTTCTGAATAAACTTTCTAAGCCCGATTTTGTCCAGTTGTTCGAATAACCATTTAACTTCTAAAAACAAATCAACTCAAAGAGAATTCATTAAACATTTTTGTTCATTAAACAATTCATTAAACATCTCATTAAACATTTTTGGTTTGCTACAGTAGAAAATTATTGTAAAAGAAAAGACTCTTAGGTTTACGATTTTAAACTAAATTGTAAATTGGAAAAATGTTTTAGATGACAAATTTTTCAATAACAATTTAAGAAATCGTTTTTAATTTAATTTAAAGAGAGATATATACATACATATAGTATACGCTAGAAACAAACTACACGCCAAATTTGACGCACCTTTTTTTTATTTAATTTAATAAAAATATTTCTTAGAATAATTAGATTATTCTTAAAAAATTATTTTTAAAATTTTCCCAATAATTTTTAATTATTTCCTTGAGAAAATTAAATTAATTCACAAATATTTCTATTTATATATTTATAAAAATAAATTATTAATATAATTTATTTAATTTATTATTCAGATATAAATATATCAAAGCTTTAATAATTTTAATAAAAAATATTTTATTTAAAAAAATGTCACAAACTGATCAAAATTTTTCAACAAATTGTGTAGAAATTGAGCAATTATTAACTGACAAAATATATTCAATTTTAATGCCTATACAAATTATTTTGCTTAGTTTTATTTTGATATTAATTATTTATTTAATTATTTATTTTAAAAATAATAAATTTTATTTACATGGAAATTTAATGGTAAATTAAAATAATTAATAAATAGTAAAGCAGCTGGGCTATAGCTATTTCTCTCCTTTAGCTAGAGCAAAAGGTTATTCGGCGGCTGGGAGCGAACCAGCATCTTCAGTAGACCGGACTGATGTGTTAGCCATTACACCACGCCGCCTACTGCTCAGCCTTAGGAAATTAATAGCTATATGCTTTACAAAATATTTTATTTAAATTTAGATATTATTTCCTAATATAATTGCTCTATATTTTATTGAAACAATTGTTTGGCTTTTTTATAACGTTCGATATAAGGTAAAATTATATTAGAATTAGTGAGCGGCAAAATCGCGTTTGCGGGATCCCGCATGTGGGATTTTTTAAAAATCTTTGCGGGACGGGATCCCGCAAAATCCCTCCCTCCCGCGCCGGTCACTAATTAGAATACACGTAAACTGAAATTCCCTCTAGATGACAGAACAAAACTAACTTTAAACAAACTTAATTGTTTTGTATTTAATCTTAGTCTTAATCATAATTTCCATATAATTTCATTGTATAAATAATTCATGCTTTTAAAAACTTAATTTTAGAAATAAGTATTTTTAAAATTAATTTGAAATTATTTTAGATTCTTTTATATACATATAATGATTCTTGTGATTTATTAACCCCAATTTGGCTTGTTTTGGTAATCCATGCTCCATATTTTATTAATACTATTGCATATCCATCTTTTCATTTTTGTATTATGATTGAACGTGCTAGAGCTACTTTATTTGCTGAAAAATATGAAAAAGAAGGACGTTTATTAGGGATTTATATGAGTTTGGCTGTTGTAAGTTATTTTGGAAAAAACTTTACAAAAAATCTAAAAAAACATTCGAATGAACGAGAATTAAATATGTAGACTTGGGCCGAAATCCAATCCGCTGCTAATCGAAAAACTATACGGGCCCTAACTGAGAACTTAAGAAGAACCAAATAATGGATCACTAATAAGAGGTCGAAGGATTTTTAAAGTTCTCAGTTAGGGCCCGTATAGTTTTTCGATTAGCAGCGGAATCTACTAAAAAACAAATAATATTTTAACATAATATTTTAACAAATGTATTTCTAATTAAAATAAAAATTTTAAGTGGTTAATATCCATTATTTATTACATCTACATTTCTTTGGCTGCCTTCGCAGACACAGAAAATTTTGGTCAACCTCAAGGTGCAATCTATATGACCACTAAATATAATGCTTTACCAATGTTTTGTATGACAATTTTTACATTAATATTAATGATTGTGACAACATTGTGTGATTGGAGAATTATTATTTTAAACAGAAAAATAAAGAATTTAACGTAAAATAATTTTTAAAAATTTAAAGATATATCCTTTTTTCAGTAAAAATTCAGCAAAATATAGTTTAAGCCAAAATTTTCAATTAAACGAAAATACACTTTCTATGCGTTTGATTCTTCCTCTCGATTTATCCTATGCTTTATTTTATTCTTTTTACATTGTGTTTGCTATTATTCTTCGAGCCTATAAATCTTCAATGCCAATTGCCCAATATATTTTATTTTATAATGTTGATGATACGGTTTTTAATAGAGTAGAAATTTATTTTTAATTTCCAATTTTTTAGTTCCTGTTTGTACATATTGCTATTACATTAATTGTTTATATTAGCTTTATTAATTATATCAAGAAATGTAGAAACAGGATTACAAAAAATATTTTTGCACAAGAACAGGCTAAAATACATTTTAAACAATTACAAGAATTTTGGAGATAAATTTATTATTTTTGATGGTAAATACTCGATATTATTTTACATACAAAAGCTTTTCTTTATTCGAAGTATTTTAAAGGATGTTAAAAGATGGACTTACGTTATAAAGAATTAGAAAAAATAGTATATTATAAACCAGAGGTGGGTCGAAACAATCAGAGGTGTCGGAAATCGGAAGAGCCGGAAATCGGCTGGCTCAGGTCGGAAATCAAAATTTTTTCGGAAATCGGAAGGAAAAAGACGCCGAAAATCAGAACCAGGGTTGCCGCCCGAAACCCTTTACCCGAAACCCGGCCTTTTTTTGTACCCGAAACCCGATACCCGAATTGAAAATTTTCCAACCCGAAATCCGAAACCCGTACCCGATATTTTTTCCAACCCGAAACCCGTGACCCGAAATTGGTTAAAACCCGAAAATCCTACCCGAAATCTTAGCCTTACCCGATTTTTTTGAATAAATTTGTAAAAATTATAGAAAGCGAAAATTCTCAAAATTTTCGCATCCGGCGCCCAAAACGAAGAAATCTGGCTTCTTGGTCTTTGAAAATTCCCAAAATTTTCGCCTTCGGCGCAAAAAATGGAAGATTTTTGGCTTAAGGATCTTCCTAAATTCTTAAAATTTTCGCCTGCGGCGCTAAAAAAGAAGAAATTTTGCTCTCTAGCCTTCCAAAATTCCCAAAATTTTCGCCTGCGGCGCTGAAAACGTGAGAAAATTTGAGGATTTAATGAAGGTAAAGCTGACAATCTTTCTTAATCCTATCCAACAATTGCTTGAATTTCTCGATATCTCTTTTAATCCCTGATATATCATTGCAAGAAGTATGTCTGAGGATATGCATGGATCAATGTTGATTTGGAAGGACAATTTGGAAGGAAAACGTGATTTAGAGGGATTAAAGGGAATTAGAGGAGGGATATAGGTGATATGAAAAGATTTGATGATCGCTGATATTAAGGATGGTTCATTAATCTTTCAAATCTCCCTAACCCTCCTAAATTTATTCATTGATATCCCCCTCAATACCAAGATATCCTTCTTAATCCCCAAAGCCCGAAATGTCTCTTCAATCTCTTCAGATTTTCCTCTCTCTATCACCAAAAATCCTATTATGCAACATACATAGCTTGTCTCCTTACAATTTAGTGTATCAATACCCTAACACCCGAAAATAACCCGAATTTTTCACCAAACCCGAAACCCGTACCCGAAATTTTTGCCAACCCGAAACCCGTGACCCGAAATGAAAATTTTATAACCCGAAACCCGTACCCGATATTTTTGCCGACCCGAAACCCGTGACCCGAAATGAAAACGCTCCAACCCGATACCCGTACCCGAAGATTTTTTGTACCCGCGGCAACCCTGATCAGAACCCACCTCTGCTATAAACAACTCAAACTTAAGAATAATATTTGTAAATACTCCAATATTTTTCTGTAATTTTATTTTAATAGAGAATTCATAAAATTTGTAAAAAAAACTAAAATATTTAGAATTTTGTAAACTACTTTAAATTTTTTTAATCTTCGTTTGGGTTAATATAATTTTTATTTTTCACTACTAATTATAAATACACACTTAAAACTTAATATTTTTTATATAAAATTTAAATACAACAAAAAAGGCGTAATTATTAGGGAAAAATAAAAATATTGTGCTAACAATAAACTTCTAATTTTATATTTTTTAAATTAATTTTATGAGGGTTTTCTGTGTGATAAATATATTTCTGTACGCATTTCCATTAAACGAGAAACAGTCCTTTCATAAGCAAATATTTCTTCAGATCCGTCAAATACATTTGCATGTGCAGATTCCTAAAAAGAAATTTTTTAAAGATTTTTAAGAAAGGCATAATTTCCAAATATTTTGGAGGCATCTTTTAATTTTTTCGAGTTTTTAAAAAAATTCTTATTTTAATGTTTATATTTTTTCCTCTTGTGTATATTTTTCTAAAATATGAGAAATTTAAAAAAGGAGAGTGCCTGGGGTGTCCGCGGAACTTCGGCATGAAATTTTGCAGACCCTTCTTTAGTTGTGGAATTTTAATCATTTCCGCTAAATGGTACCTGGAACCGAGTTATAAGTCCCCGAAGTATTAAGATCCCTCACAGTTTTTCTTTTCTACATATAAAAAACATATCTACATTTTCTTCTCTACATTACTTTTTTCGATTTTTGAAGAAATTTTTTCCTTATTTTAAAGTTTTTTTTTCTCTTGTGTATATTTTTCTGAAATATGAGAACTTTGGGTTGGGTCGTTTTGGCGCCGGGCCGTTTTGGCGCGAGAACTAAAAACTGGCACCTAGGTGAGATCTAAATTCTTAAAATTTTTATCAAATTTCTTTAACATCCTTGACTACCTACTCCAGAAATTTCAGAATTTTTTATCGAATATTTCTGAAGTTATAGTCGATAGACCTCGAAAAATTAGGCATTTTTCAGAAAACCAACATTTTTGGCCATAATTCCTAAAATTCTTGCTCAAAAATTCTGAAATTTTTGGAGAACTTAGTAAAGGTACGAGAGTTGTTATTACAAAAATTTATCATTTTTGATAAACAACTCGCTATCTTATAAGCTCGCGCCAAAACGGCCTATCGCCAAAACGGCCCAGTCCCGAGAACTTTAAGTGAATATATTCAAAAATTGTAAAAAATATTCTTTTCCAAGCCAAAATAACATAAATTTTCTAATTTAAATTTCAAAAACCTCTTGTTCATTAATTTTTAAATCATCCATTAATATTCTTTGAGTATCGCTTAATTCTGTTTGTTTATTAATTTGAAATAAATTTTCTAAATCAACTTCAGCCGAACAAATTACTTTAACCTAAAAAAATATTTTTAAAAAGAATTAATTTAAAATTAAACTTTTTGATCATAAAATGTGTCAATCATTGTTATAAATCGACGAATTTCTGATAAACGTGTTTGGGTTAATATTGGAATTTGTCTGAAAATATTTTTTTTATTTTTAAAAATTTTTTGAAGAAAATTATAGATATAAAAATTAAATTTTTTGTAATTAAAAAAATTATTGTGAAGAAATAGATAATTTTCGTCATATAATGGAAGAAAAAAAATATTAAAATAATTATTTCCCAAACTACTACAAAATTCCCAATAAAAATTTTAAAAAGGCAAAATTAGTAGTGTTACTCTGAATTTAATATTCTAGAGAAGATTTTACAAAAATTTATTTTAAAAGATGTCAGAAATGTCTTTAGCTTTCCCTTCCACAAAAGAATCGAGAAAAACCAAAAATTTCAATTGCGGCAATGAAAAATAAATTCTTTAGTTTTTTGTTAAAATATTTTTTTCCTAAATTATCCCCCAAAACCCTTTTCTAAATATATTTTCTGGGGGGTACAGCCCAAAACAACGCACGGCCATAACAACGCAAATCCATAAATAGTTGGAAAATTTTTGGCCCTAATCAAATTTGGTACCAATCTCTTTAGCTCGTTGAGAGGAATCGTTTAATACTAAATTTGTTAAGATTTAGAAATCTTGAAGCAAGTTATGGCTTTGCGTTTTTATGGCCGTGCGTTGTTTTGGGCGTGTCCAAAAAATTTAAAAATATATTCCTGGGACGGAAAAAAATTAAAAAAAAAATTAAAAAACCTAATAAAAACTGTATGAAAAACCCTAGCAATAGCCATATAATCGTTTGAACTTAAAGGTCTTCCACAAAGTTCATCAAAATGTAAATAGGCAATACGTCCACAACATTTTTCAATAAATAAAGTTCTTCCCAAAATATTTATTGTTTTTGAACCAACAACTTAAAAAAAATTTTTTAATTTAAAAAATTCAAAAAAACCGTCATTTTCTTTTGTACACAAAATTTTAAATTCATTTTCAATTTTATTTTCAGTTTCAACAGATTTTCCAACAAAAAACATTCCTTCTGCTTGTGAAGATGTCTAAAAAAATATTATTATTTTTTAATTTAAAAAAATTTAAAAAAACTTTTCTATAATCAATTTCAGAGTCAAGAGAAATTATATGACATTTTTTCTCGAGTAATTCAATAAAAGGAATAAATTGATGCCTTTGAAGACCATTTTTATACAAATCTTTTGGAGGACGATTTGATGTGCTTTAATTAAAAAATTAAATTGGAGTGAGAAAAAGGGTTGGAATATTTATTTAAATAAGTTTTTAGAAAAATTAAAAACTCTAAAACTCTCTCAAGGCGTAGCCAGGGGGTCGATTTCAGGGGGCTAAAGTTGGCCCCAGAAGCCCCCCTGGCTACACCCTTGAAATATTCAATATATTTCTTTCTAGATAAACCAATAAAATAATGAAATCGAATTAAAAAGGACATTAAAATATTTTTTGGGAAAATATTCTAAACATTTTTTAAATTTTTGGTTAAATAAAAAATTCTCAAAAAAGATGTTTAAAAATTCGGTAATCCTCACTTTTACTGGTCGCTAGAAAAATGTGGAGTGCTTTCTCGTCATTTTTGAGGTTTGCCAGTAAGTAATTGAGTGTTCTGGATCCGAATGAGCATAAAATTTGTTTATTTCGAACCCTGAATCCGAATTAGACCAAATCGAATTACAACAAATAACAAGTCGAATTACGTCGAAAAAGCACTTCTTCCACATATTTTTATCTAGAGACCAGTAAAAGTAAGAATGTTTAAAAAATTCCTCCAAATAAGGCTATAAATTCAACTTTCTTAAATTAAAAATGCGTAAAAAATAAATTTCAATTTCAAGTTTAAGAAAAAAATAAAAAAAAACCTACGCAACAAGTATCAATCCCAAATCGAATAATTCAGTAAATAAACGTTTCAATATCATAGCATCAGCAATATCAACAACTTGGAATTCGTCAAAACAAAAAAGTATCGATTTATTAATTATTTCTTTAGTAATTTGAGGGATTGGGTCTTTCCCGTCTTTCGAATTAATTTTTAATAAATGTAAATCTTTTAAAGGAAAAAAATTTTTTAAATTAAATTTAAAAAATACTTTTATGAAATTGTTGCATAAATCGATGAAAATGAATACGTTCTTTCCTTTCTATTGAAATATTTTGTAAAAACATATCCATTAACATTGTTTTTCCGCCTCCTTTTAAATTAAAAAAATAGTTTTATTGTCCGTTTTTGAATATTTTAATTAAATTTTTAATTTAATTTTTGCTTGAGAAAGATTTGCGGACAAATCTAAAATTACTAAAATATCAAAAAAAGTCAAGAGAAATTTTTTAAAAATTAGTGGCAACGTCAAGAGGACTTTAAAAAAATAAAATTAAGGATTATTAAACAGAGCTGTTCTGAAAAAATCTTCGAAACTTGGAAATCGAAAATTACAAGAAAAATTCGAAAACAAAAATAAAAAAAAAACCCTTCAAAATCGAATTTTCGAAACAGCTTTGACATTGATCACTAAATTCCTATCAATATTTTAGTACTAATATTGTTATCGAAAAAACGGTTGAGGGGCAATTCAAAAATTCCAAATCACGGAACTTTATACATTTTCAGTTTTGTCTGTGTTTAATTTGTTTGCAAAATATTTTTGAAAATCAGAATTTTTTCAATCCCGATTTTAAAAATATTCTGATGAAAAAAATAATGACGACAAAGAAGAAAATGCAGAAAGTTCCATGAGTTTTTAAGACCATGACACTTGTACGTTCCGTGATTTGGTAAAACCCTGATTTGTCGTTCCCTGTCTTGCCCGTTCCTTAAGTTGGCCCGACACTTTAAAAAACCCCTACGAAAAATCTGTCCGAAAATTTAAAAAACTTTAAATCTACCAACAGCTCCATATAAATAAATTCCTTTTGGAGTATTTTTATTTGTTTGTTTGTTTGTAAAAAATTTATTGAAAATCCGTCCTTGAAATGACAGATTTTGAGATTCTATTGAAGTAGAATATTTATTTAAATCATTTAAGAGAGAATCAAAATAATTAACTATTTTAATCTAAAAATAAAATTTTTTTGAAAAGTGTTCCAAATAAACTTGTTTTTCATCATATTTTAAAATTCCTTCATTTACATAATTCATATAAGCAGTTGAAACTGATTGCAATGAAGAACATGAACGAATTAAATAAATATTTTTATTTGTAAAATTAAACATAAATTCTAAATAAAATTTATTTACTTAAAATAGGTAGATAAAATTTGGCAATCCCGGAGAATTGGGGTCCCTGCGGAAAAAAATCTTAAAAATAAGAAAAAGGATTTTTCTAGGGTAAAAAAATATGCTGATTACGAATCCGAGCTCAGATTTTGAAAAAGTCGAATCCCGAACCCGAACCAAATTTCGAACCCCGAACCCGGATTTCGAATGTGCAAATGATAGCTCGTTCGAAAGAGCTCGTCGAGCTGCATCGAAAGACACCAAAATCAACGCGATCGGACCTGTTTCGACAAAGTTATGACATAAAGTAAACCTCTGTGAGTACTGTAAGAGACGGCGACTTATGTCATAACTTTGTCTAAACTTGATCAATCACTGTAACTTTGGTCTCATTCGACTCAGCTCGACGAGCTCTTTCGAATGAGCTATCATTTGTACAAACTTTTTTTTACTCCAAAAAATCACCCCTGTGGTTTTTCAATATTTAGGGGTCTGTATCTCGGTTCAATCCGGTCGGATTTCATTGATTTTGGTGTCATTCGACTCAGCTCGATGAGTTCTAGATTCTTTTGAAAGACTGGCCATTTTGTACAATGTCCGACAATGTTCGGGGTCAAAAATCCTGTTCGGGAGCAAAAGTCCGAATTCGGGTTCGGGATTCGACTTTTTCAAAATCCGAGCTCGGATTCGTAATCAGCATATTTTTTTACCCTAGAAAAATCCTTTTTCTTATTTTTAAGATTTTTTTCCGCAGGGACCCCAATTCTCCGGGATTGCCTAAAATTTTAGTAAAAATTAGCAAAGAATTTATTCTGCAAAAACCTGGGACACGCCCAAAACAACGCAAGGCCATAATAACGCAAAGCCATAAATTGCTTCAAGATTTCTGAATTTAAAAAATTTAGTGTTAAACGCTGCCTCGAGATAAAGAGATTGATACCAAATTTGATAATGGCCAAAAAGTTTCCAGCAAGTTAAGGCTTTGCTTTGTTATGGCCGTGCGTTGTTTTGGGCTGTACCCAAATTTATTTTACCGTATAACCTCAAATAATTACCCTGTGTAATTATTGTTTCAACCTCTGTTAGGGGGGGGGGGTAATTAATTGAGATGGGGCAATTATTTGAGAGAGGGTAATTATTCCTGCACTTAAAAAATAACCTACCAAAAAATTCAATCTCTCTAATAATGACTTAATTTTCATACTTTTCTCTCATGCGCCAAAAATCTCCATTTTAATTTTCAATAATGGGGGGATCTATTAATGAGCTTCGATTGTAGCATAACGAAGGAATTTCTATTTTCCTTCCATACATATTTCTTCAATTCTTCTATTTAATTGGCACAATCATTTGCTTGATTCTAAATTTCTTTCTTTCCTTCTCTTTTCTTTCTCTATAAAATTTCTCACAAAATTCTCTCAAAAAAACTTTTAATTTTCAATAATCGTTATAATAGCCGGCTTATATCGAGCAATTGCCCGAGGGAATGTTCTGCCTCTATGCACTGCGCAACTAACAAAAAACTAACAACATAGGAAGAAGCTCAAATCTTCTTTTCTTTGTAAGATAATCACCACCTCACATTTTTGTATAGCCAAAACCACAACTCATAAAATCGAATAGTATTATAATTGCTTTTTCTTATTATTTTAGCCGCTTTCCGACATAATTCTTTTTCTACTATTACATTCAATAACTAAATAATAAGTTTCCTTGCTTTTTTCAAAGGATGCCCTAATTTCTTAAAAATTATAGATTTGCTTGTATTTTTGATTATGAGGGAGATATTTTTAATTTTTTTATGTTCACTTTTTCTTTTAGTATATTTTTAAATCCGAATCTTAATCCTTGTAAAAAATGAAAAAATATAGGTAACATCAAAGGTCTAGCCGACTAAAAATTCCCGATTTTTGGGAATCTAATCGGCTAGACCCGTAATTGACACCACAATATGTAAATTATGTAAAGCATATAGTGGCTATTTATTTCCTAAGGCCGTGCAGTAGGCGGCGTGGTGTAATGGATAACACATCAGTGTGTTTCATCGAGACATTATCTCGCTCACAAATATTTCTTATCAAGAACGAGATTCTCTTTGATTACCACAGTTATTTCTCTTTAAAATATTTGAAATATTTCTGTATATTTTTTGTTTCATTTTATTTTCCAAATTATCTTGTAGTCAATAAAATACATATAATTTACAGATTATTATTAAGTATGTTGGTAGAATCTGAATCCCGCGAATCTGCATATCGATTTGTGGTACTTTAAAAAATAATTTTGACCTTTACCAATTAAATTAAGGTTTATACGGCAATTTCTTTTTCACTCGCAACTATTGTAGCTATATTTATAACTTTACCATTAGCTAATAATTATATAAATAATTTACATTTACGTGTACAACATGAAATGGATTTTTGTAAAGTAAAAAATATATTTTTTAAAATTAAATCCATAAAAATATCTTGATTTCTTTTTAAAGTTATCTGCTCAGGAAGTTATTTTAGAGATGAGTGATATAGGGGAAGAAGCTGGTTTTCTTTACGGAGGCGAAATTAATGAGGCGCCTTTAGCTTTTCGTCAGAATAAAACAGATATTCATCGATTCCGTCGACAATCAAAATCACAATGCGAAGGCAATAAAAATTGGAAAAATAATATTTTCAATTATTTCAGGGTGTTGTATTCCTGGATTGCCAGGTCCTGCTGGTCCTCCTGGCCGAAATGGGATTCCAGGTAGACCAGGAGCTCCTGGCGCTCCTGGGTTTCCTGGTCGACTTCCAGCTATTTGTGAGGAGGTGACACAACCTCCGTGCATTGCCTGTCCTCCTGGAGAGCCGGGCCCTCCAGGTAAAATATTCTTTTATCCTTAATTATTTTTACTTTATGTTTTTTCTTTTGAAATTAAGCACAACAGAAAATCTATTTTTACCCTAACATTATATTGTTTTTAGGACCATTGGGCGACCAAGGTAATCCAGGCCCATTAGGGCATCCTGGTCGTACTGGAAATGATGGAACTCCAGGTTTTATACATATGAAATTGATCAATTTAATAAAAAATTTTCAGGTCCACAAGGGCCTCCTGGCCCTCAAGGATCACCTGGCAGTCAAGGAAGAGACGGGGCAAGAGGTGAAGCTGGCCGACCAGCAATCTCCACACCAACTATGCCTGGAGATCCGGGGCCTCCTGGAGAACCGGTCATTATATCTACTTATTACAAGTTGATTTCAATTTTAGGGTTCTCAAGGATTGCCTGGAGATGCTGGAGAGCCAGGTCGTCCAGGTTCTGAAGGACTTCCAGGCCCACAAGGACCACCTGGACCGGTTGGTCCTGCAGGGCCACCTGGCAAGCCTGGGGAAGAAGGGCAACCTGGACATCCAGGTGCGCCTGGTGAGAGAGGAATCTGTCCAAAATACTGTGCTTTGGACGGAGGGGTATTTTTTGAAGATGGAACTAGACGTTAAAATATTAAAAAATAGAAATATATTTTATTATAACAAATTCAAATTATATATTATGATAAAACAATTTACTGATTAGTATTATATTTTATTAGCTTTGGTTAACATGTTATTTAATAAATTTATGTAATAATTATTATGCTTATATTATTTATTTTTTAAATAAGTTAGTTAATTTACTTCAGATATATTCCATCATTTTTCGCACTTCCTTCCAAAAAATATTTTAACACTTTTTATGCCAAAGGATTTTTCTTCATCAATTCACTATCGCTTTGTACCATTTCATGCACAAGTTCCTAAAAAATAAATTTTAAAAAATTTTTAGAAAGAATTTATACTTTAAGACTAATTTTAGCACTCCAACCAAGTTTCTCCTTTGCCTTAGTTGGATCACCAATTAATTGTTCAACTTCTGTTGGTCGATAGAATTTTGGATTTACTTTAACACGCAAAATATTTGTTCCTTTCTCGATTCCAATTTCATTTATTCCTTCACCTTCCCACCTTTTATTTTAATTAAAATTTAATTAATTCATTCAACAATACAAACATTATTTCTTTTCCAATTTCTTTAAACGCCAATTCAACAAATTCTCGAACTCTATAATTATTTAAATAAAGGCATTGAACGGTTAAATTTCCTATCATGTTCTCAAAATTATTAAATTTATACCGTATCTATTCTAACTAATATCTATCTATATTTTCTAACTAATATCTATCTATTCTAACTAATATCTATTCTAACTAAAAGTTCCCCTCCAATTGAATGATAATTTTCAAAAATTAGAATAAATATAGATTTAAGTATATGTCAGTCTAATTAAGGCCCTCAACCCAATCACTTTTTCACTTCGGTTCAACCCTCTGAGTTATTTCCATTTGAGAAGTCCCTATGGCCAAGCGTAGAGGGTCGTTTTGGCTCCACGGCTAAAGATTTCCTAAATGCGCCTTAAAAAGTTGTGGGACCCATCCACAACTAAAAAATCCCCTACCATCCGTTCTACTTAAATTAATTTTTAAATAACATTTCTCCTCAAAATAAGGGACAATTTTGGACTTATAGAACACTTAAATACCTATTTACTTAATTTATCTAAATTAATTACGTATAAAATTTTCCTGTAGCAATAACAAAATCATCAGGTTCATTATGTTGTAATATCATCCACATTGCCTCAACATATTCCCGAGCATGCCCCCAATCACGACGAGCATTTATATTACCTAATTCAATAAATTGTTGTTGGTTAAGTGCTATTTTTGCAACTCCTCGAGTTATTTTTCTTGTTACAAAAGTTTCCCCTTAATTTATTTTTAATAATATAATTTTATTTTGATTTTTACCTCGTCGTGGGCTGAAGAATTAATTTTTTTAATTAGAAAAAATTATTAATTTTAAATATATTTTTAATATTTTTTTAACCTTTCGTGGTTAAAAAGAATTCCGTTACATGCAAACATTTTATATGCCTCCCGATAATTAACTACAATCCAATACGAATATAATTTAGCAACAGCTATAAAAATAATTTTATTTATTAATTATTTTTATCCAAAACCATAAGGTGATCGAGGATAAAAAGGCGTTGTTTCCTTAAATTAATTAAATATTTTTGAATAATTTTTAATAATTTTCTTTTTTACTTTTTGTGGCACTTCTTGCACTTTTCCATACAATTCAGATGTCGAAGCCTGATAGAAACGTACTTTATTAGACAATCCACAAGCGTGAATTGCATCTAATAAACGAAGTGTTCCAACAGCATCCACCTCTGCTGTGTATTCAGGCAAATCAAAAGAAACCTTTTTTAAATTTAATTGTTTGGGATTTTTTTATTTTTAAATACTTTGACGTGACTTTGGGCAGCCTAAAATAATTTTTAAAATATTAAAAAAATTTGTTTTTATTTTTACCAAGTGATAGATTTCTGTTGGTTGAATAGTGTTGATTAATTTTATGAGACCTTTAAAATATTTGAGAAAATTATTTTTTAGTTAAAATAATTTTCTTATTTTGCCCAAAAAAATTGAATTAAAATAAATTATTTTTATAAAAATATTTATGATTTTACAAGATGAATCTGTCATATCTCCATAATGTAAAGAGAAACTGGCACTTCCCTCATGAGTTTTAGGATCAGAATAAAGATGTTGAATACGAGCAGTATTAAATGAAGAAGAACGACTAGATAAATACAAAAATTTTAATTTTAAATAAAAATAACTGACCGAATAATTCCGTGAACTTTATATCCTTTTGAAAGCAAAAATTCAGCCAAATAAGAACCATCCTTTGAAAAATCGTGTAAAAAATTATTTTATGTTTAGTTAAGGAGAAATACCTAGTTAGTTTTATAATTAAATCAACACAAAGCAGTGAGATATGTATTAGGAACTAATTAAAAAGAGGGATATCCGTGTGTCACTTGATTAGTATAATTTTGCCTAATTCCATCATTTTCAATTATCAACATGAGTCGAGCAGTTGCCCGGTTAAAAACACACCCGACTTGCACTTAACGCGAAGGCTGCTTGAAGTCTCTGTATAGCACTTAAACGGGTGGTACGCCCCGAGTGGGGAGGCAATCGGGTATTTCTTGTAAATCCCGAGGCATTAAGTTAATGACTACTGCTAACAAGTTTGTGGAAATCTATAGTTTAATTCCACCAAAAACCAATTATAATCCACGTTAAAGTAACACATATTTCAATTAAGAAATTATTACCTGTCCAGAAATGCCAGTAATTATAGCTACTTTCCTTGCTCTAAACACGGCTAATTCATCGTCTGAAGTAAAACCAGCATTGGGTGAAGATTGCATACAATCTTCTTCGAATTTAGTACTTTCTGTCATTTTTTAATATTTAATAATTTTTTTTCGGGTTTTTGAATGAAATGGGGAATGAAAGGGAAATACTAACTGATTTTATTAAGCGATAGCAAGCGAATATATTAAATTTATTTAGAAAAAATTTTCTATTCATTTTTTTATTATTTGTGTGTCGTGTTGGCATTTTAATAAAAATTTACACGTTTTGGATTCGAGAAAAAAAAAGTGGAGAAATTGGAGAGAAAAAGAAATATTCAAAATAATAAATATTGTAAAATACATTCAAAATTGAAAAGACTTTCACATGTGATAAACAAGAGAAGAGATGAGATGAATCAAGCAATCCACGATTCGTTTATTTTACAAAAACAAATAAAAAATTAAAATTAAAATAATTTTTTGAAAAATTTAAAATGCTAATCCATTTAATTATTTTTTGAAAATTTTAATAAAAATTTGCAGGGGAATAAAGTAAAAATAAAATAAAATAATTTTTTTTAAAGTGAGGACAAAAATGGATTGTTTGCTGTTTGGCCAATGCTTATAATAAAATCAATAACTAGCATAAGCATTTTAGCTTGACAATTTATTATTTATTTTTTAAAATTAAAAAAAATAATTAAATATTAATTAAATAGTGTCTTTTATTAAGAAATATGTACATAATTGGCAATCGGAAAGGAGTTGCAAAAATATCCAATATTAACCAATAATATATGTATAATTTTGGCTTTTAATTAAGCATTTAGAAATAAATTTGTTTTTAATATAAAAAAAGATTTTTTTATAATTATTATACTAGTAAATTCCCAAGACATTTAGCACAATCAGAAATGTTTTAGAAAATAAATTTATTAAATTGCTTAGTAAATGTGAAAAGTAATTTTATATATTTTATTTTATATTAAATGAATATAATTTTCTATTAAGTATTTATTTATATAAGTAATAATGTGTTATATTTGCTTTCATCCTTTTAAAATCAAAGAAGGTCTCGTTCTTCTTTTGCAAAAATAGTCTCGAGATTTAAGACTCCGCTAAAATTTTTTAAAAATAATTTTTAAAGTAATATTAAATTATTTAATAAATTTAAGTAAAAAAATATTTTAAAACATACACATCAAACGTGCGTCTTGCTAGACCTCCAGAAGAAATGTACTGTGAAGGAATACGCAATTTAACCTTAATACTTGACATTTATTTGTGAATATTGTAATAAAGCTATTTGATTTTATGTTCATTATGAAAAATCGTTTCAGTTACCAGGCCTGTAAATTTTGAAAATTTTTGGGAAAACAGGGCCCGCAAGATGAAAATCCTCGAGTTGTAAGGTGAAAAGAACGTTTGGTTACTAGGCCAGTTTATTTTTAGAAAGATTAAGCTTATAACAAAGATTCCACAATGCCTAACAAACTTAATCTTATATCTTATTTATTTTACCTTTCTTTGTCCAGGCATTATTCCATCATCACAATCATGATAAATTTTTAGAACTGGATCAATAGTGGTCAACTCACCTTAAAAATTTAGAATAATTCTTTAAAAATAAAATTATTAATTACGAGTCGATCCACGTAATGAAAAAGAGCCAGAGCCGTCAGTAAAGGCCTATTTTAAAACAAAAATAAATTTTAAATTTTATTTTAAAAACCTCATCTAAAACATCATCTGGATCAGGTCCATCATCCTTTTTTAAGAAAAAAACTTTTATTTAATTAATTTACATAAATACTTGCTTCGTCCCAAAGTTTTACTTTAACACCCCCAGCCGGACGATTCCCACATAATAAAATTCCTTTAACAGCTACAGCTTGTTGTCTCATTCCATTAACATAACAAGCAATTAAACAAAGAAAAATAATTATTTTAATTAACATTTTACTTTTTTTTGAAAATTATTTTTTAATTAAAATTGGCTAACTAAAATAATTATACCTTAATTTCAGTCAGACTTTTGACTAAATTAATTTACCTTCTTTTTAATATTAAATGATTTAAAAATGAACAAAAACATTTATAATTCTTATCAATTTATATTTATGTTTAAAAATAAATTTAATTACCTGCTTATCTATTTTTATTTTTATTTAATTAATCAACAACAAATGCTCTGGATTTTTAAAGTAAATAAAGAGAAATTAAAAAAAAAGAAATGTCTAAATAATGAATAATAAAAAATATTTTTATTTCTTTTAAATTTTTTAACGTTCAAACAAAAGCTATTAAAAATTTAAAAAACAATTAATTTATTTTTTAGTAAATCTTCTAAATCATTTATTTTAAAAATATTTTATAGATATTTTTAATGAAACACATGTTGATACTAGTGTCGTTCTTGAGTTTAATATCAACATACACCCATTTACCTACACTTTCTATTGTCCGGATAATTTTTTAAATTAATTGGCTGATCAATGGGGCAGGGAAGCTTCCCAAGTAAGTATGGCGGTTCCTGGGAAATCTCCGGATATCCGGAACCGATATCGAACCGAAATTTCCGGATATCCGGAGTTTTTCGGTTCTGGATACACGGAACCGCAAACCCAAGCATTAGCTTCACTTCATTAACTCAACTGAATTAACTTCTAAAATTTTATTCTAAATTTCTCCTTTAAATATTTTTAAATTTTAGAATTAAAAACCCAAAAAATCTTTACTCATAAAACAAAAAAATACATTGTATAAATTGTATGTAAAAATAAATAAATATTAATGTTGTTCAGGACTGATTAGCCCTTCAAGGTGAAACGAAAAATAATTCTTAACCAATAGACTTCCCTGAACAACACTATTTCAAATCTTTAATTTTTTCGTAGAAAATAAATTTGCTATTTAAAATAAAATTTTAAAAATTAAATATCCCAATAAAAAAATTGTTACATAAATTTACTTAAAAATAAATAAATAAACAAAATAAAATTTTAAATAAAATAACCCTACTTTTAAAAAATATATACTAGTGATGTTCGGGAGAAGAAAAAACCCGGGAATCCTGAAACGAGAGTCGGGTCGTGAAATGACCTCGGGAGTAGGGATTGGGATCAGGAGGCCAAAACTCAGGAAAATTTCCCGAGTCGGCAGGCGGAATACCCGAACATCACTAATATATACATACATAGTATGTACGCTCTTTTAAATTTTTACGGATTTTCAATCACTTTTTCCATATCCTGAATAAATTTTGTTTTTGGTAAATTCATAATTCTCTCGCCCTTTTTGACAAGGTCATAATTTCGGCATTTACGGTATTAGGTTGTTCACTTTAGTTAACCGAACGGAAATTGAAATTGGACCGAACCCGGAGACAACAAAGAACTAGTATGTAATTAATAAACTTTAGTGAACAGCCCTAATAAATAATTTATAATTTGTTATGGAAAATACATAAATTTTAAAAGTGTCCGACAATTAGGACGAATTTTGAATGTTTAAAAAATCCGATATCCCAATAAAAAATGTTAAATTACCTTAAAAATAAAAAAAACCAAAAAAAAATTTTAAATAAAATAACCCAATTAAAAAAATCTTTTACTTTCCTTCAAACGTTTACTAATTTCCAATCATTTCTTGCATAGCATGAATGAATTTTCCTTTCGATTCATTCATAATTTCCTTCAATTCGTTTGTATTGTCGTTAAATTCACTAAAAATTGAATTTTAAATACAAATTTATTTCTAAATAAAAAATTACTCTTTCCATTTTCTACCATTCAAAACTTTTCTTAAAGCTTTTTTTAAATTCTTTTCCAAATTTTGATCTCTAAAATCAACTTCCTCAACATAACCGCGTGATTCCGCTGCATATGCATTATATGGTTGATCAGAATTATTTGGGATACAAACCATTGGAATTTGAAAATAAACTCCTTCAAGTAAAGAATTATATCCACAATGTGTAATCATTGCTGTTGTTAATTCATTATCTAAATATTTAAAAATAATATGTGGTTAAGCGAGATTTGATTGTGTATTTAATAATACTTATTTTCTCAATTAATAATTACTTATATACTCCAAAACAATTATTTCCTATCCTCCTTACCTTCAAAAATATAATAATCCCCCGTAAATAATCTCTTTTTTACACTCACTCTCTTTAATAATTACCCCTCCAATTATAGAGCATATTTATTAATGGAACTATGTAATCCTTTAACATGTTGTTGGTCCTTAACCTAAATCAATCTAACGATATGACTAATTTATTCTGTTTTGGTTACCATACATTTGCAGTCCAGACTTGAGAAAAGTATTGTAATGATAATGTGGAGATTTTTGTTTATATGTGCATAGTAGTACGATATAAACATAGGTATAAAAAACCTAGTTACTATTTTAAAGCGAAGGGTGTAAATTCGCTATTTCAATTGACCCAGACCTCTGTCGGATCCCAAAATTCCAATAAGTTGAAGCTAACTTATCAAAAAATCTTGGATCACATCTTTCCAAAGCCCTATTTTTCGGTGATCCCAAAAATCTTTGAATGTTTATAGTATAACAATATACCTAAAAGTGTTGTTTGTTGAATATACCCTTCTTGAATTATAACATTTTCTGGGATATTCATTTCTCTTTTTGGGTCTTCATTATCATCAAAATCAAATTTCCAGATAAAGGAATAATTTTTAAAGGATCCAAAAACATTTAAATATTTTTGGAATAAATCAACAGACATTTTTTTAGTTGAAATTAATGTTCCAAAACAGACAATAATAATACCTTTAAATCTTCCTTCTGTTGAAGCTTTAGCGCGCTCCAGTAATTGCTCTGTTCCCTTTATTTTTAAATCATTTTATTAAAGTCTAACTGGCCTATACATATGAGCATTGTTCATAAGCTCGTACCAAAATTCGTACGAGCAAACAATAGGGGGTTGTACGAAGTACGAGTACGAGGCCGAAATTAGGGGAGGTACGAGCACGAGGTAAAAAATGGGGTGGTACGAAGTACGAGTATGAGCAAATCTAAAATTTATGAACACTGCATATGAGTCCAATAAAAATGTTTAATTTCGTTTTTCAAACTAGATTGTTCTACTGAATCGTGCCAGATGTATATAGGTAGTTTAGAATGATACATATAATATTAACAAAACACAATTATTGGACTCGTAATATTGCAAAAAAATTACAGGCTTAATTGGTGCAGGCTCCGTAGCAATAATTCCGCCAATAAATTTAACTTTTTCTTTTAAAGTTTCCTCATTTAAAAATATTTCTTCAATTTCCTTAAAATCTAATTCTAGTTGGAGATTACAAAAAATATATTTTGTTTCCTTAATTAAATTTTCAAAATTTTTAAATTCAATTCCATTTTTTCCATAAATTATTTTAAATGCTTCTTCTGCATTTTCATAATATATTTTATTTGTTTCCCATTCATTTTCATAATCATCCCTAATTCTGTATGTTTGTGTTAATGCTTCCCTTCCAACAGCTAATAATGTTCGTCGCTCTTTAAAATAAATTTAAATGTTTTTAAAATTTAAATACAAATTTACCAGGAATATTTTTAGAAATAATTTTTTCATTTAAACCCATCAAATAATAAAAATGGGTATCAAAAGGCAAAGTTCTAGTCAGAACAATATTCTTTGTTGGAATACCAACAAGTGGGAAAATCATTAATGCTCCTGTATGGAACATTTCACATAAGCCAATTGTATATTTTGTTTCTCTTAATTTATCCATCCACTTTGTATTTTTGGCTAGCACTAAAATTATAGGTAAAAATAATTTTATTTACCTATATCAATTTAAATACAGTCCGACCTCGGATTTAAATATCTACACTCTGTTAAATATACCTACATACATATATAAGACACCCCCTCTAAAATGAAAAGGTTATCAATTTTTAAAAATAGAAATAGTTTTTATGTTTGTTTATTAATCCCATCATCGAGATCCAGATACCCGAATAACGACCTAGAACCAGGGTAAATGTTTTTTAAAAATAGTTTCCACTCTTTATAGGCTAAATTAAATTTTCATTTGATAATTTTCTGAAAGCCCATTAAATTTACAACAAAACGGTGTTTACCTCGTTATTTTAAAAAATAACTTTTAAAAAATAAATATTTAATTAAGAATTTTATTTAAAAAACTTAAATTGTAAAACGTAAAAATCATTTTGAAGACGAAAATGTTTCAGTTCTTCTTTTGAAGGAACACCTTCCCAATTCCCTCCTTGTCTGTTCATTACTGGAACATTTTGTAAATTTTCATATTTTATGAAAAAATCTTTATTATTTTCCTTCAATTTTGAAAGACTTAATTCTACACATATCATTTTAACAATTTCATGTTCAAATTGTTCCGGACATTTTCCATCAAGAACAGGAACAACAATTAACTAAAATTTTTTTAAAATTACTATTATTCAATTAACTCTTTAATATCAAAATTTTTTATTTATACATATCTCCAGATGCTACAGCCAATAAAGCCAAAGATTGGAACTTTTTTAAAAAATCATAATTTTAATAATTTATTCCCTATTTCGCTCACTAACGACTCCTCAACTATAATTTCCAATTCCATTACTTCTTCAACTTACAATAAATTCAATATGCTCTTTTAGATCACTATCCGCAATAATCAAAGAAATTTGTTTTGCAAATTTGTAATGGCTTTGTATAAATGTGTTATACGCAGCAATGACCAAAATTCGATGACTATTTCCTTTCGAAGAACGTAAATTATAGTCATGTTGACTTGAAGTTTCAGGAGCTTTACCTTTTCCCTTACCTCCAGAAGCATTTAAATTGTTTAATATTGAAAATAATAAAAGCAATAAAAATATTGCTAAATTAATTTTCATCTTAAATTTAATTTAAATCACTTGAAAGACGCAAATCAAAGAACAGAAAACAATTAGCTATTATTTATTTTACCACTACATACTTCAAGCAGCAGCATTAATTTTAAATAAGTAAAAATGCCTTTCTATGTATAAATATCAATACCAGAAAATTTACCTTCTCTCGAAACTTACCCGCCCTCATTTAATTTCACCCCATATAGTAAGAAGTTGAAAAACAATTACCTCCCCAAAAGTTTAAATTTCAAAATTCGAAAATTTCCCGGTTCTACTTTACTTTATTAGTCCAATCGAACTTTATGAGTCCAATCAAATTTTATAGAACCGAACATGTTTTATTATTCTAAATAAAAATTTTTGCTCTAATGCAGTTTATGAGTCCATCACAGTTTATGAGTCCAATCAGATTTTTGTGAGCTACGGGCGTAGATCTGTGAGCTACAGGCTCACAGTAGGCCCATAGCTCAATGTAGTAGGTCTGCGAGCTACGAGGGGTAGATTTTACATTTTCAAGGCTTAAATGTAAGAAGGGATAGGTCTGTGTTACTTCAAGGAGAAGGGATAGGTCTGTTTACTTCAAGGGAGCCAGCGACCGTTGACTCCCTCGAATCACGTGCCGCAAAATGCCGTGCGAAGAGCGGTGTTTTGTACAAGCGCCTCGCCGACGCCCAATAGGTTTACGTTGTTTGATTTGTTTTCGAATAAATTCGAATTCGAACCCATCAGACACTATTAATGTTTCTGGTTTTATTTTTGGGCTAAGTTTTGTTTGGACTCATAAAGTTTGATTGGACTCAAAGACAAGTAGAACCAATTTCCCTTGAAAGAACAAATTATAATAGTATTCAAGAAAATACACTATGCTTAATCTCCTCAAAAGTCGAATAACCCTCTGACTATTATACATAATATGCTAACATTTTAAAATTTTAAAATATAAAAGTTTTATATATTTTTATAAAAAATTCTAAAAATTAATAAAATGAATAGCATTTATTGAGAGGGGGAGAGGATTTTCTCCCTCTAAAAATTCACTAAGCTTTCATATGACATCTCCCCTCCCCTCCTCCCCTCCCCTCCTTCTCGCCTCTTAAATTTCTTTGTTCAAATCCACATGCCAATTCAACAACCAACAGGATGGAGAGGGGAAGGGATTTTGGCATTGCCACATGATTGAAAAATCGACTTTTTTAAACCACAAATCAATATATTTAAATAAAACATTTTAAAAAATTAAATAAACAAATTTAAAAAAATTTTTTATCAAAAACAAATTCCACAAGATTTTGGACAAATTTTATTATATTGTTGTGGAGAATCATCTAAATAATGGGTTGTCAGATAAATAATGAGCCCTTTGCGCATTTTTAGTCTTTTTTTATGTATAGGTATTCGAATTTTAGTTAGAATTATTTTAAATTTACTAGAGTCAATAGTTCACGCTTTTTTCTACTAGCCAGAACCATTTAAAAAATAAATTTTGAGTTTTGCAGTTTTTTTAAAAATTTTTTAAAATTATGTCCTCAAAATATGAAATTCGGACTGTTATTTTGTATTGCTTCAAACGCGGTCTAGGAACAACTTAATCCAAAAAAGAAGATGCCGCCTTGTAGGGTACATATTGCGCATCTTTTGCATCAATTAAGCGATGTTACAAAAAATTCAGTGATGGAGATATGGGCCTAGAAGCCAAAAACCCCAAATTTAGGCTAAATTTGGGGTTTTACACTGGGAACTAACTCCTAAAGGGCAATGGATTGCCAGGCGAACTCTACAAAACAATATTGGACTTAGTTCAGATTGCCAACGATGTTTTCACTGCTTGCGGGGTTCGTCATGATAAAGTTGTTTTTCAACAGGAAACTGCACCCTTGCATTGCGCGAACGCAACTCGAGCCTAAATCACGGGGACACTCGGATGGGAACTTTTAGCTGATCCTCCTTATTCTACGGATATTGCGCCGTCTTACTAGCAGTTATTTCGTTCGATGAAAGATCATTTGCGGGAGGTGATGTTCCAAAACTGTGCTCAACTCTAAAATTGGGTTGCTAACATTCTTAATACCAAATCTGCCAATAAATTTTATCAAATGAGAATTCTAAAACTGCCAAGCAAGGGGCAAGAAGTGATAGATAATAATGGACATTAAATTGTTTTTTGATTTTATTTCATTATTTAGTTATAGTAAATTGTATAATTTATGCGCAAAGGGCTCATTATTTATCTGACAACCCATTAATAGTTAAGAGAATCAACTTCTTTTGGAGGTCCAATTTTATTGCATAAACCAGCTTTTTTCCATTGTTGGCATCTTTTAAATTGAAAAATAATTTTATAAATTAATTTTTAAAAAATTCACTTTTCATTTTTATCTTCACATTCCCTTTCAATTCTTTTTTTATCCTTTTCTTGACTTTCCACTAATGGCTGAATTACAACTTGAAGAGGAGTTTGTGGAGACATTTCATTAATTATTTTTGTCTTTTCCTTCTTATTAACTTTTGCTTTATCACATTTTAAGCATGTTTTTGTACAAAATTTAATCTTAAAAAACAAAAAATTATTTCAAAATTATTTTTGGAGTAGAAAATAATAAAAATTCTAAGGGTCTAAATTACAACAGAATCACTAATTACCATATATTCTCCATAAACAGGACTTCCACAAAGGTGAGCATTTGTTGTGCAATTCCCAACTTTATCTGAACAATCGGGAACTGTTAAACGATGTTGTGATAGAGGACCTTTAAAATGTTTTTTCAAAAATCTCTAAACAAAACAACAAACGTTCAACAACTACAGGTTTTCCATTATTTTCTGGCAATCTTTCATTTCCATTATTTATTTCAGTTTCTTCCCCAACAACACAAAAACCACAAGTTCTCGCACAATTTTCGCGCATATAATCAACGGAATCAGTTTTTAAGCATAAGGATTTTCTTACACGGCAAGAATTATCTAAATACTTCAAGTTTTGAAAGGAAAAATAAATTTTTTCTCAAGAAAAACATTCTCCATTTGATACGAAATATCTTGGATTAATCTTAAAATCCTAGCCTCTACAATGAACCAGAAATTCTTGAAAATTAGTAACAAAAAAGGAAGTCTATAAATTGCTTTTATCTTGGCATTTAAGTTAAGCTCAATCTCAAATTCTGGTTATTTCCATTATTCTAACAATAATTTTGATATTTTTGCTTATTTACTTATTTGTATAATAATACAAAAAGTTCAAATATTATTATATCCTTTAATAACTACCCTGGGTAATTATTGTTTGGACTTTCGCTGGAGGGCGTAATTAATCGAGGGAGGGTAATTATACGAGGTTTGAGATTTGAACGTGTTTTAGGGTATTTGTTTGGGGGTAATTGTTGTTTCAATCTTTCATGGCCGAGGCAATTAATGGAAGTGGGGTAATTATTTGAGTGAGTGCAATTAATACAAGTTATATGGTAACTATTAGTTCATAAATGAAACTTCCGTCTTTTTATTTTTATCTAGCTATAGGTAACAGTCTGAACAGTTTGTTGGTTCCATTCAAAATATTTTAATAATTTAATTACCATAATCTCTGCAGGAAGTCATTGCACAAAGTCCACACGATCCGGCACAAAAACGTGATAAAACTCCAAACCATTTTTTCTGATGGCATTTTTCCATTTGTCTCGAACAATCAATTATTCCATCTACTCAAAAATTATTTTAAATTTAATTTCCTAAATACTTTTATCGTCTTCACAAGCATAATTAATATCTTCACAACAAATTCCACAAGTTTTTCTACAAGATTCTGCTATATCCTCTAAACCTTGTAAATTGCATTTTACATCACGACGCCCGTTTCTTTTATCAACTTCGTGAAATAAATAATTACAAACCTAAAATTTTAAGGAAAAAAATAATTTCCTTTGTCAAAAAACATTGTTTTTAATATTAAATTTCATAAAATAAAACAAAAAACATTCACAGTAACTTATCGCTACGTAAATTATGGCAAGCAGTAGCTGAAGGAATTAATTCTCGTGTATCCAAATCTTGACAACGTAACATCATTCTTTATTTTTAAATAATTAATTAAATTATTTAAAAAATATTTATTTACGCTATTGGCTGTTCTAAAGAATTTAATTCATTCCAATTTGTTGTTTTTCTAAATCCACCAATTCCCCCAATATTTCCATGTTTTATTGAAGTTTTAGTTTGATGTCCATTAATTTTATTATGTGGACGATGAGAGCTTAGAGATGTTTTATTATGAGTATTTTGATTAATATTGATGAAGATCTTATTAAAAATGATATATATTTTTTATAAAATATGTATTATATGTAATTTAAAAACTATGAAGTTCAACTCTTTCCCCGTCCTATCAATGATAAAAAATTTTTAGCTACAGAAAGTTCTCGAAATTTTCTCCATAATATTTAATTCGTCAAAGCACTTGATGCTGATTTGAATGGTACTAAAAGAATTGAGTTAACATACAGGTACTCGAGAAAAGTAGACAAGTGGTATTCAGAGTTAACTTCGAATAACTGATACCTTCTTATACACGAACTCGTTCCTCGTTAGATTTTCATATTATTGAAAATTTTGAAATATATTTTTTAGCTTTAACTACTGCCAATTTTTTAGATATTATTTTAAATAATAATTACTTTTTCTTCTTCCTCATTTTCATCATCTTCTTCAGACCTTTCCTTCCTCTCTCTATTTAAAGGTGTTTTTATTGTTGTAGTAATTATTAAATTAGAAAGTTGCTTTGTTGTTTTTCTTTTATTTTCTTTTGAAAAAGATTTTGTAGAAAATAAATTTTGTTTTTTTATTTCGTTTTGATTCAAAGACTAGAAAAAAAAAATAATTTTTGAGGAAAAATAATTAAAATTAATTTCTTTTTACTTTTAAGCTTTTTTCTTCTCTTATTTTAAATTCATTAGAACTTCTTTGATTATCCACCAATTCATTAGATTCATTTATTTTTTCATCAAAATATTTTTTCCCATTTTTAAAAAATTTTTCTTCATTTTCTTCAGATATACTAATTAATTTTTTTTTATTTTCCTCATTATTTTCCCATCTAAAATTTTTAAATTGAATAGCTTCTGCAAGAAATGTTGTTTTACTTCTTTTTAAATTAAATATTAAATTTATTTTATTTTCTTTCTTTAATTTATTTTTTTTATTAATTAAAAGACAAATATTTGATTTAAAAATAATTAAACAATAAATTGATGATGAAGGCAGAATTGAGCAATTCTATAAAAAATATTTTTTAAAATTTTTTAGATATTTTTTGTTTTTATTTTAAAAGAAAATTTTATTTATAAATTTAAGTTTAGAGATTTTCTCAAGTAAATTTTGGACATAAACAGTAAAAAGTTATTTTTCTATCATATTTTAATTTTAAATTTTAATTTAGATGCCAATAATTAGTTTTTGGAAATTCGGAAACAGGCTTTGGACCAGGGTGTCCGCAATTGCGGATTGCGTAAATTGCGAGGTTTTTCGGACTACGGATTGCGGCTGCGGAAAATATTTTTTCATTTTTCACTTTCTGACAGCCTTGGACGTTCCTACCTAAATTCGTACTACTAGTATTCCGTATTTGGTACGAAGTACAGGGCGAAAATTGAGGTGATACAAGTAAAGCAAAAAATAAGATTAGGCTATGTCTAGTAGGGTATCACGACTTTTGCGCCGAGAACATTTGCGCCGCGACTTATGCGCCGCGACTTTTGCGCCGGGCGACTTTTGCGCCGCGACTCTTGCGCCGCGACTTTTGCGCCGGGCGACTTATGCGCCGCGACATTTGCGCCGCCATTGTTTAGAAAATCCGGATCCGAAAAATGCCGGATATCCGAAATTTTCAGTTTGGATATCAGATCCGAAGATTTCCAACTATTCGAAAACCCTACTAAAGTGAGGTCCGGCTGTAGTTATTGATATATTTTTAATGATAGTGGCGGCGCAAAAGTCGCCCGGCGCAAAAGTCGCGGCGCAAAAGTCCCCCGGCGCAAAAGTCGCTCGGCGCATAAGTCGCGGCGCAAAAGTCGCGGCGCATAAGTCGCGGCGCAAATGTTCTCGGCGCAAAAGTCACGGAACCGTCTAGTAGTACAAGCAAATCTAAAACTTCCCAGGGCCGTTCATAATTGTTAAAAATATTTATAAGCTTTCAAATAACATTATTTCTAATAATAATTTTAAAAATATGTACATTATTATTATGTCGAGGAATATAATAAAAATCATTATTAATTAACAAAATAATAAATAAAATAATAAATAAATGAGAATTAAATAAATTTTTAATTTTAATATTATTCATATTTTTATTAAAAGGAAAAATATTTTAAATAAATAAATATACATAAATTTATTATGATTTCTCTTTAAATAAATTTTCTCTCATTTATTTTTTTCTTTAATTTAATCATCTGCGCAGATATATTTAAAGTAGCCAGTAAATAACTACAGCAAATATATTGGTAAAATTAAATATTATTTTAGTAGTGCTGTCCACAAATTCTAAATAAAAAAAGCTGTTCACATATAATCGGCGAATGACCGTTTAAAGTACATTAAATAAAAATATATAGATTGGATTTTTTATTTTTAGATTTATTTTTTATATCTTTTAAATTCTGGAGACTTTAAGAATTTATACAATTGGTTTTATAGTTTGTCTCAGATCTGGTCACAGATACTGATCTTGGTATCCTTATCCGTATATTTACGGCGGATACAGACGGATACATGCGGATATCTGCAGGCATTTTGATATTATCTGTATCCATATCCGTATCCATGGGCAGGTCTGGTTTGTCTGACTTCATTGAAGAATGTGAAAATAAAACAAAAGAAGAGAGTATCATGATTGTATTAGTTTAAAATGAGTAAAATTAATAATTTAAATAGATTAAATATGTAAAGCATATATAGCTATTTAATTCCTAAGGTTGTGCAGTAGGCGGCGTGGTGTAATGGAGAACAAACACATCAGTCCGGTCTACTGAAGATTCTGGTTCGCTACCAGCCGCCCTTTTGCACTAGCTGAAGGAGAGAAATCGCTATAGCCCAGCTGCTTTACTAATATAATATAATGACTAAAGCTTCGAGATTAAACTATCGATATTCAATTGTCTTGTTCTGAAGAGGTACTATATAAACGTTAGACTATATTCTGATCAGTTTACTGTCATTAAATTTTATTTAGCTCTGTTTTTTTCATTTTATCTTTTCTTATCTTTTCTTATTTCACCTTGTAAACTAAATCCTCTATTTTATAGGTAGTATTAAGATACTTTTCTGGAATTATGTATTCTTTACCTTGTGGAGCATTATTCGACATTTTAAAATGCCTCAATTCCGAACAATTATTCTCGTTAAAACAAACCAATAATTATTTCAAAAAATTTATTGGTAGATATGAGAAAATATTGCCAAGAAAGGAATTTGAAGGATTTTCTATAGTAAGTTGGAAATAGAAATAATTTTTGTTGTTCTTTCAGATATCTTCTGACATCAATGCTTATGACCCGCCAGAACCGGATCAAAGAATGATTAACCTCAAATCTGTAAATTGTGATTATTCGTTAACTAGTCAACTTGAGGAGAAGGTAAATAAATAGGGAGACACGCCCAAGTAGGCGCGCGGTAACTTGCTTGAAAATTTCTGGCCTTTATCATTTTTGGTACCTATCTTTTTAGCTCGATTAGAGAAATCGTTTAATACTAAATTTGGTAAGATTCGGAAATCTTTAAACAAGTTAAGGCTTTGCGCTTTATGTACCCAAATGAATATTTTTAATCGTCTCTAAACAATTTTCTTTTCAGTGGAAATCTGCTATAAACAATAAAATTTCTACTAGTTTAAATATGGACAAAAAATTACCACTTGGCGAGCGAACATTTATTGTGATAGGAGATGGTCGGTCACTTTTTAATTTTAAATTTTAAACTACCTACCGTATTTTCTCGATTAATTCCCCTTTTCAATAGATATTGATAATTTCAACGTTTTTTGGAAAATCCCGCGCGGGATCCCGCAAATTTAAATTGCGGGATGCGGGATTTATCCCGCGGGATCCCGTCCCGCAAAGATTTTTAAAAAAAATCCCGCACGCGGATCCCGCACACGATTTTGCCGATCTCTAAACCGTATAAACCATAGGTGTTGTAGTTCTCTGGCATGGGGAATTAATTGAGAGTGGGGAATTAATCGAGAAAATAAGGTAGTTATTTTTTAGACGATGACAAGCATGCTCTAATAGTGGAATTGCCTACATATCCCAAAACGATTTCCGATATGAAACTTATTCGTTTTTGTGTTGATCAACTCTTTCGTTGTGCTTATATGGAAGCTTCATTTTTTGTCTTTATTTTCAATCCAGAAATTATTCGTTTACTCTTTGAGGATCAACAAAATATTTCTCCCAAATTTTATACCAAAAATGCTTCTATTGATTATGGCAAAATAAACAAAGAAAAAATTTTAAAATTTAATTTGGAGCATTTAATTGTTAAAGGAGACCTTTCATTGTTTTTTGGAGGTGATACGCAGAAATATAATGATATTGTTTCGGAGCTGGTATTAAATGGAGGAAGTGTAATTCATAGAATTCGTTTGGATCTGAGTGATCCGTATTTGTATAATTTAGTTATAAAGGTAAATGGGGATTTGTTAGAGACCTGCGAGACTTAGTTTTGATTCCAAGACTTTTTTTGGGTTTTTTCGGTCTTGGTCTCAGGGTCTAGTCTTGACCTTGAATCTTGGAAAATTTTCGGTCTAGCACGTCTCTAGAATTTATTCAAAAAGTTGTGCCTTTTCAAAAATTATTTTTCGTTCGGAAGCAGGGATGTCACGGGTTGAGAAAAATGTCGGGTCGGGTTTCGGGTCGGGTTTCCAAAATTTTTCTCGGATCGGGTTTCGGGTTTCGGGTTGAGCAAAAAGTCGGGTCGGGTTTCGGATCGGGTTTTCAAAATTTTCTTCGGATCGGGTTTCGGGTTTCGGGTCGAAAAAAAGTCCGAGTATCTTCCCTTCTCAGCGCCGCAGGCGAAAATTTTGAGAATTATGGAAGGTCCGAAGCCAGATTTCTTTCTTTTTCAGCGCCGCAGGCGAAAATTTTCAGAATTTTGGAAGATCATTAAGCTAAAAATCTTCCCTTTTTCTCCGACAAGGGCGAAAATTTTGAGAAAACTCGGGTCGGGTTTCGGGTCGGGTTTTGAAAAATAAAAATTCTCGGGTCGGGTTTCGGATCGGGTTTTAGAAAATTTCTCGGATCGGGTTTCGGGTATCGGGTCGAAAAAAAGGCCGGGTTTCGGGTATCGGGTTTCGGGTAACCCGTGACATCCCTGTTCGGAAGTCATTCCACTCAACTCGAAGAGTTCTTTCAAAAAACTATCATTTGCATTTTCGCATTATTAACCCCAAAATAGCTACATAATTCAAGTTTTGCAATCAACATAAAATTTCTTATCTTTAAAATAATTTTAAAATTTAGCTTATCGAAACATCCGAAAACAATTCAAATATGGTAACCAACTTCTTATTCAAGTTCCGTGATTGTTCTCAAGTTAAAGTAGGTGTTAGGGCGGAAAATATTGTAAGGGAAGAAAATAGTCATGAAGTTAAATATCAAATAACTAATATTTATAATAAGAATATGAGATCTAATGTTGAAATAAAACGGAAGTTTGGATGTTGTACAATTATGTAATTAAGAACATTTTAAATTAGATAAATAGGTATTTTGTTGTTTATAATGTATGTATATTATCTATAAAAAAATAAATAAATTTTTAAACTTTATTTTACATTTTTGTTTTATAATTTTTTAAAGATATCATCAAGACTAGGATTTTTAGTTAAATATAAACTACAAAATAGTCGGTAATCTTTTACTTCATTTTCCCTATAAAAGAAGTAACAAGAAGTGTCTTCAGCATTTTTGAGGGTGCTGAATCCGAATATGAGCTTAGAATTTGTTTATTTCGAACTCCGGACTCAATTTCGACCAAGTCCGACACGCCTAATCTGACACGCAAATTCGAGCTGTATCGAATGTTATCAAAATTATTCAGTTTCAACAACTTTAAACAAATTTATGGTGTCTGATTACCTATATTATATTTTAGTTTATTTTTAGTCACCATTATCAATTTATTTATTTTTATATTATTAAATTCCAATATAAAATTAAAATCACCATTTATTAAATATTTACTACCAGAGTTTTATTTTTCCTTTAATGAATTTATTTAAATTATTCATCATTTCAAAAAAATATAATCCAAACGGAAATTTTACATTAAATCATTAAATTAAATACATTAACATTAAATCATTAATAATATTTTAATAAATATATTTAATTTTAATTAATTTTATTAAATTTAGTTTTTAAAATAAAAAAATGGATTTTAATTTTTCTTTTGTAATTCTTTTAATGTTAATGGATGTTTTGCTTGTAAATATTTTTAAAACAAAAAATGATATTAAAAAATATATTTAATGAGAATTTAATTTTAAATTTTTGAATTTTGCTTAATTTAATATATGTAAAATTAATTAAAATTAAATAAATAAATAAAATTTGTAATAAAAATTATTAAAATAAAGATAAATTCACTTTCACCGCCAATAACACCGCCAAATGATCCCAAAAAATTAGAACCCAAACCGAGTTTGAAAGATGAAATTAAAGGAATTCAATATGGATTTGATGAAAAGGATGAACCGCGTCATTTTCAATTTCGAAAGGATATAGAGTCAAATTATAAAGGAAAGTCTGGATATGTTTGCAAAACTTATAAAAATGGGGTTTATTGTGGTTGTGTAATTAGAGGTAAATTACCTGAAAAGTTTAATTTGCCGATACCGGACATGGACTGTGCTGAAAATTTTTGGAAAATAGCTTCGGTTTTGAATTGAAATTTTGATTTTTATAAGAAAATATTTAAAGATGGCAATGTGTGGGAATGGATATTTTGACCAAATGAAGCTGTGTGCTCTGGTTTGGGAAGAATAATTAAATTTTATTTCAAAAAAATTTATTTTAGACCAACTTTTTTGATGATCAGAAACCGGAGAATGTTCCAAAAGACAATCGACATAAAAGTAATAAAATTTATTTTTAAAGAGACAAACTAAAATTAAATTTAAAAAAAAAGAAATGTTGGTGCTTTTGGATGGCTGTGCGACATGTTCTGGTGGTGGCAAAATTACGGGATTACGTATCACACATTTAGAGGAAGCTGGCGGCTTCTTTTCTAAATGTGATGAAATGAAAGAATTTGAAGCCTTTAGCGTTTCTGATCTTTCAATTAATATCCCTGCTAGTAATAAGGTTGATGGAAATTCTGCATCATTTACAATCCCCGCCATTTTAACTCATCGTGTATGTAACAACATTTTTTACGAAAATATTGCTAAAGATAATTATGTTAATGTTAAACTTCACATTGATTATGAGTAAGTATTTAAAGCTGGAATGGATAATATGGGACATTATAAAATAATTATTTAAATTTAGTAAAAGCAGTCGGGAATAATTACCCCTCAAATCTATGTAATTATCAGTCGGGAATAATTACATAGATTTGAGGGGCATTATACACCTTTAGGAAATGTTTAAGAAAATCACAACTTCTAAATTCAAAAATAAATTTCGAATTAGGTGTGGTGGAAGCAAAGCAAAAAAGGTCGTCGATTTGCCATCTATTGATCTGAAATCGTTCAAAGTTTGTATTTAATTTTTGAATACTACATGGGTTAATATTTTGAATATTTCTTCAATAAAGACACAATATGTATTTAACGAAATAAAATTTCAAAAAATGGGATACAGTAAACATTGAAAGACGTGAATTTGGTTGAGACCAAGGTTGTTGGTTTCAAACCGAACCGAAAATTTTCGGTTCGGTTTCGGTTAACCGAAGAATTTGGTGAAACCAACAACCCTAGTTGAGACATTAATTATTCCAACCTTAAGCCAAAAACATTATAAAATATATTTTTCCTTTAAAAGAATCGCATTGCTGAAATCCGTGGATTGTGGATTAATTTGGATGGGGGAAATACTAAACAATATGTTAGGGAAGGTCTTGATTTCAAAATTGAAGACAAAATGGGTGGAAGCTGGACAGATCCGAATCTCGATTGTTGGACAAAAAATGAAATTTGTAAATTGAAATGATGAAATTAAATATTAATTTAAATAAATTATTTAATGTATTTTTTAATTTTTTTTTTTGATAAAATCTGGGGTCTAAAAACACTTTATTTTTAATAGTATTTACTAGGATGGGACAAAACCGTTTAATTATGAAAAAACCGTATACCGTTTATCTGAGACCCGTATCCGTTCCGTTTAATTTTACCAAGACAAACGGTTTTGTCCTACCCTAGTATTTACCTTAAATCGAGTAACTAAATCAGAAAGCAAAAAAATTAAAAAAAATTTTGTTTATTAATCACAGTAAATTATTTTAAAGCAGAAAATATAGGCAAAACAAAAATTTAATTTTTAAACTAAACCAGGAAAAATTTTGAGTTATAAAGATTTGTAGACTTTTTTTAAATCATAAAGAAAAGCAAACAAACATAAATTCTTGCCAAAATTTTTTAATGGAAATTCAAAAATTTTGTAATTAAAGTTTTTAACTTATATAATTAATTTAAAAATATATTTTTTTAATTAACAAAAGTAAATAATCGAAAAAGTCCAAAAAGATATTCAACAATTTCCTGACCTCCAAGTTTCGATTCTCCATAGAAACGATCAACAAATTCAATTGGCACTTCACCAACAGAAAATCCCATTTTCTTTGCTCTAAACATCATTTCCATCTGTAAAAATAATTTTAATAAAAATTTAAAAATATTTTTTTGCAATATAATTTAAAAGTTTTCAACTATATTAAACCTCTTTTTACACTATTTTAAACTAGAGATCGGAATTTTTGAAAAGCGTGGGCCTGTTCCTGGGTTTGATTTATTGACTCGGCCAGATACTTTGCCTGTAGTCCAGGAAAAACCCAGGAAGGTCAAAAAATGCCTGGGCCTGGACTCTGGGTACAGAAAAATAATAATAAATATACACAATAACTTTAGATCCAGGCCGATCTCTCTTTTAAACCTTTTCGTTTATTTCTAAAATAAATTGTAGGGTCAATAAGTAAGCTATATAATAACCCCCAAAATAAAAAATTCCAACTTTCTTTATAATAAATATCCTAATTCGATTTTCTTTTCGAAAAACATTTAATTCAAAAACTAACTTGGAAGACATATCCTTTAGAAATTGAAAGATTAACCAAATCTTTCAAAACATTTTTTCTATAAAGTCTAAAAGAGCCAGTTAAATCGGAAACCCCAGGCTCTAAAAGAAACTGAAAAAAAATTATAAATTTAAAAATAAATAATTTTAACAAACTTGTGCAAGAAAATTAGCACCGCGACTAATAAGTTTGCGTTTAAAATCCCAACCAGAAACACCACCTCCAAGTGAATATCGTGTTCCAGTAACAATGTCATACTTAATTTAAAAAATTGATTTAATTAAAAATTAATTTAGATGAACTTTGGGTTATTTAAAGATTTTTAATTAGAAATAATTTTGAAGTTTTAAATATCTACATGAATTTACTATAGAGTAGGAAATAAAAAACGTCCTCATCGTTAGATATGAATTTTTGTATTTAAAAGTACAGATCAAGAATTTTTTGGACTTCGATATTAAGGTCAAAAATCAGTATCCAGCCAATTTTGGAAAAATAGGTACTTTTTGAAAATACCGACCCCCACCTAGTTTGAGTATCAGTTACATATTCATCCTTCTTCATGTCAAACATTTATTTTTCACAAGCAAGTGAAATGCAGGTAAAAATACCTAAATGTTATTGATTGACCAAATATAATCAAAAAGGAATGAGGAAAGAATAAATAATACTCACAATCAAACTAAAGAGGGGCGGTATCCCATAAGGTACCGAAAAATAAAACTTTAAAACCCAAGAAACAAATATTTTTAAAATACGAACATTATTTTTATTTTGTAAAGCAATCATTTCAGGAATATGTTTAGGGTGATGAGACAAATCGGCATCCATTAAAATAACAAAATCACCACTAAATTTTTGATTTTTGTTAAAAAATAGAAAAATACCGAGCTTGTTTCAATCCAAATACATAAGCACTTCCAAGTCCAAGCTTGCCTTCTCGAGTTAATAAAATAATTTTATCATTTCCAAATTCATTACAGAGCTTTTTGGCTATATCCTTTGAAAATTAAAAAAATAAATTCTAAAAATCAAAAATAAAAAAAGATGCAGGCTCATGGCCAGGGGAAGGGAATACCCCCCCCCCTCCCCGTCCCCAATGAGGAAAAGGAAAAAATTTGGGGAGGGGATTGGATAAAAAGTGAATTTTTTGGCCTACGGCATTCTATAATTCTCAAAATTTTGCCTGCTACATTTAGAGATTTGGCTGTACTTTAGCCGGTGGCCGGTTCGAAACCGATTCGAAATATATACCATTCGATTCGTCTCGGCGAGCTGAGTCGAATGGTACCACTCCCAGGGTGCGGAAACGCCTGTGGACCGAGATATAGGTCCCCGAAAATCGAAAAACCAAAGGGGGGAGTAAGCACATTTTTGGGGTGAAAAATTCGAATATGCAAATAATAGCTCATTCGAAAGAGCTCCTCGAGCTGAGTCGAATGACACCAAAATCAATGAAATCCGACCTGATTGGACAAAGTTATGATCTTTTATTTTAGCTCCTTACCTATGGCATCTGTGGACATTTTTGCTGCTACGGAGGCCCCAAATATGTCCAGAGCAAGGGAGATAGGAATAGGTTTATGTCACGAGCCCAGACCCAGCGCCCGTAGACTCCCCGCGAGGCGCGTGCCGCAAAACCCCGCGCGAAGCGCGGGGTTTTGCACAAGCGCCTCGCCGACGCCCCATAGGTTTAGGTCTGAGTTTTTCTATCGTAACTTTGTCCAAACTTGCCCAATCACGATGATTTTGGTGTCATTCAACTCAGCTCGTTGAGCTCTTTCGAATGAAGTATTATTTGTATAAAAAATTTTTTATTCTAAAAATCGCCCCTTTTGATCTTCGATTTTTAGGGGTCTATATCTCGGTCCAATCAAGTCGGATTTTGTTGATTTTGGTGTCATTCGACTCAGCTCGAGGAGCTCTTTCGAATGAGCTATTATTTGCATATTCGAATTTTTTACCCCAAAAATGTGCTTACTCCCCCCTATGGTTTTTCGATTTTCGGGGACCTATATCTCGGTCCACAGGCGTTTCCGCACCCTGGGAGTGGTACCATTCGACTCAGCTCGCCGAGACGAATCGAATGGTATATATTTCGAATCGGTTTCGAACCGGCCACCGGCTAAAGTATATCCAGAGATTTTAGTCAAAATTCTGGCTATTAATTCAAAAAGATGTTAATCGAAAAATAAAGAAAAATATAAATAGTAATAACACTATAAGTACCAAAAATATCTAAAAAATCAAAATAAAAATATACTTGTGTTCCATCAGGGCTGTTATCATCAATTATAAGTACTTCATAATTTAATTCATTTAAATATTTGTTAATTAACCAAATACATATTGGCAAATTTTCTGCTTCATTATACCTTAAATCAATTAAAATTAAAACAAAAAATTAAAAAAATAAAAAAATGAGAAGAAGAATAATTAATTAAAATTAATTTTAAAAAATTATTTTTTAATTCAATTTCCTTTCAAAAAAACTTTTTAAAAATTAAATTTACGTTGGAAGTAATATTGTATATTTTGGTCGTCTTGAATGTTTATCTTCACCATTTTGTAATTCATTTTCTGGATTCATAATTGTATCTATTGAATTAAGAAATAAAAGAAGGTAAAAAGGAAATTCAATCACTATGCGCATACTCAAACGGCCGGGGACTCAATGATCCCTTACCGACTAGAGATCGGTAAAATCGCATTCCCGGGATCCCGGAACGGGATTGGATTATCGACCGAGACGGGATCCCGTGGGATTAATCCCGTGAATCAAGGTAATACCGTCTTCCGCAAAAAAACCCAGGATTCCGGGACGGGATCCCGTAAAATCCCGCGCGGGATCCCATCCCGTGCCGATCTTTACTACCGACTCTAATGTCCTTTAACACGATTAATCGCTGGCCAATTAGTCGCGGAAAATAAAAGCAATTTATCTTTATGTTCATTTTTATTCTATGTATTGATTAAAATTTCAATGTTCAAAAGAAGAACCATTATCCAAAAGTTCTGAATCCCCGAAGTATATGAGGAAAAACATGACAAGATTCTGTTTGGTACCTATTCTGGACTGCGTTTAAGTGGGATGTTTTTTAGGGGTACAGCCCGAAAAGGCGCGGGCCGAAAAGGCGCGACCGAAAAGGCGCGACCGAATAGGCGCCGGCCGAATAGGCGCGAGGCCATATAGGCGCCAGCCGAATAGGCGCCAATCTTTTTAATTAAATATTCTGATTTATAATCAATTAGAATGGTCCCAACGACCATCAAATGGGACCATGACCATGCTGAATTATAAAACAAAAATTTTACAAAAAAATTTTCCAAAATTAAAAAACCGGCCTAACTATAGTTTCAGTACCAGACTCAAAATTGGACAATATACAGTCATCGACATAAAGATAGGGGCAAGTGTAAATGAAATGAAAATTGACTATTTTTCAGTCAAAAAATACGTTCTATATAGCAATCGAAAGCTCTATTCGTATCTCAGTTGACATGTTTCTGCATTTTTCATGAAATTGAAAATTGGCCGAGATAATCCGGATCTACCGGATATACCAAATCCTATAATCTCGGAAAAATTTTTCGGAAAAAATTTAACAAACCCATTTGATAAAGAATATTTTTGTGAGTATTTACCAAAAAACCGCTTAGAAAAATCTTTTTCCGGTCCAGAGATATGATTTTTTGAAAATGGCATTTTTCCCTTAAAAATTGAATTTTTTGCAAAAATAGACGAAAAATGCCATTTTCAAAAAATCATATCTCTGGACCGGAAAAAGATTTTTCTAAGCGGTTTTTTGGTAAATACTCACAAAAATATTCTTTATCAAATGGGTTTGTTAAATTTTTTCCGAAAAATTTTTCCGAGATTATAGGATTTGGTATATCCGGTAGATCCGGATTATCTCGGCCAATTTTCAATTTCATGAAAAATGCAGAAACATGTCAACTGAGATACGAATAGAGCTTTCGATTGCTATATAGAACGTATTTTTTGACTGAAAAATAGTCAATTTTCATTTCATTTACACTTGCCCCTATCTTTATGTCGATGACTGTATATGTCATTCGAACGGAATCGACGAGCTGAGTTGAATGACACCAAAATCAGCTCGATTAGATGATTCTGAACAAAGTTATGGCCAACTGAATCTTCGCTGGAAAAACTGTTTTTGTGTTGCTACGGAGGGTAGGCCCGGCATGGTCTTCGCTACACGATGGCCGTGCTTCGCTGCGGTCGTGCTCGCTTCGCTTGCGGCGACCGTAGCGAAGCGGCGGCCGTCGTTCCGCTCGACATGCCCGGCTTCCTCCGCAGCGGCAAAAACTTTTTTCCGCGAAAGAGGGGGGTGTTATGTGAGGGGGTGTTAATTAAAAGCTTGGCGCCTATTCGGCCGGCGCCTATATGGCCTCGCGCCTATTCGGCCGGCGCCTATTCGGTCGCGCATTTTCGGTCGCGCCTTTTTGGCCCGCGCCTTTTCGGGCGTGTCCCGTTTTTTAGGGTTAGCCCAAGTAAGCGCGCGGCCATAACGGCGCAAAGCCATAACTTGCTGGAAAATTTTCTGGTCCTTATCAATTTTGGTACCAATCTCTTTAGCTCGATGAGAGGAATCTTTAATACTAAATTTGTTAAGATTCGGAAATTAAGAAGCAAGTTATGCCCTTGCGCCGTTATGGCCGTGCGTTGTTTTGGGAGTGTCCGTTTTTTTTTATTTCCACGCATTAAAATTTTTTTTCAAATCGCATATTTTAATCAAAACTTTTCATATCGTTTTGTTAATTTAATTTTTTAATTTTTAAAGATTTTATTAAATTTAATTTAAAGAAAATGTCTTCAAATTTACCAACAGAAGATGATTCAAAACTTAAACAACTTTGTTTTAATCTTACACACTTTCAACGAACAGATTTTGATTCTGTTCGTTTTGTTAATTTTTCTCGAAAGAGGGCTACATTAGCACAATTACACTCTGATTTACGTATTTATTTGAGATATTTACAAAATTCGATGATTGAATTAATTAATGATGATTATGCTGATTTTGTTAATTTATCTTCTGGTTTGGCGGCTTTGAGAGATTCTGTTGATAAAGTTAAAAATAATATACAGGTTTGTTCTTAAATTATTAAAAATATATTTGGTAATATTGAACCTGACATACCCCATTTTTTCCTCCCCAAGTTTTTTCTAAATGTCTACAGAATGGTCAGACTTTTTTTCCATCTCAATTAGAGTCGGGATTTTACGGGATCCTGTCCCGAAATCCCGTATTTTAAGCGACGAACGGGATTACGGGATTAATCCCGCGGGATCCTGTCCCGCAAAAATTTTTGAAAAAAATCCCGTTACGGGATGCCCATTCTGTACATAAATAAAGGAAAATTCAGGGAGGAAAAGATGGGGTCTTTCAGTGTTCAATATTACCTGACAGACCCGTAGTGGTTCCTCCCTGTACCATATACTTTTTTTAATTTTTTAAAGGGTACTTGGTATAATTTTGAATCAACAATTTCTGATTTAGAAAGATGTGCTCAATTGGTTAATAATTATTTATTCCAATTAAATAATGCAAGGAAAGAACAAATAATAGCAAAAAATAAACTTTCTTTATTACAATCAATTCAAAGACTTCATAAATTCTTGGAAAATAGACCTAAAGAATTTGGCAATATTTGGTAAGAAATTTTATTGGGTGTTTTTTGACATTTATTTATTTTATCGCCTCCCTTTCCCTTCGCTTTTATAAACTGTCAAATACTTCTAAAAATTGAGGATGGGTCCCATTATTCACAATTTATTTTTGTTGTTTATTCGAAAACTAAATACTTTTTTTGTGTAACTTCATTTAAACATTACCCCGATTTAACTCTTCAAGGGCGTGCTAGGGAGTAGATTTCAGTGGGGAGGGGGGGTTTCATAAGCGAAAAATTTCACTTTTTTGCTCAATCCCCTCCTCAATTTTTTTTCTTTTTCTAATTTCTGGGGAGAGGGGAGGGCTTTAGCTCCAGAACCCCCTAACTACGCCCTTGCAACTCTGACAATTTTAAATTTTTGGTAAAGTTGTATAATTTTTTTCAGGTTTTCAAAATTATTTTTATTAATTTCTTCAATCGAATATTGGTTAGAATGTCTTAAATCTTTTGAAACATTTATTTTACAATTAAAAATTCCAAAAGAAAAATGTTATCGAAAAGCTACAGATTTAATTATTGGTCAATTATGCGAAGAACTTAAATTTATTATTAACCAAGAAGATAAAAATATAACCTCAAAAGTTGGGGTTTTCTTTATATATTTTTTTAATATTTTTAGAAATCTAATTTGGCTACTTTACTTGCTTCTTTAAAATTATTACACGAAAAGGAACGTGCAGAACTGCGTGTTGTTAATTTAGTCATTCAATATTTGAGAAATGATTCAAAGAAAAAAATAAAAATGGATATTTTATTGCAGGAAGTTTTGAATAAAGTGATTAATGTAAACTTTTAAAAATTTAATAAAATTAAATCAAAACTATTTTTAGATACGTCAATGTTGGATTATTTACTCTCATTATTGTAATAATTTATCTGAAGAGGTTGAAACATTTTTTGATGTTTGTCTTCTCAATTCAGTTATTTCTATTTTGGATGAGGTTGTCTAAAAAATATTTTTTTGATTAATCTTTATTTTTTTTAGAAATTTTCTACAATTCTTGTTCCAACGGATGCTCGTCTTTTCCATTCTTGTTTTAAATTTTTAATTGAAAAATTTATTTCTTTTTGGCCTACAAAAAATGAGATATTTCAAATGAGATTACTTCGAACTATTCGAGACAAATTTAATTTAATAATTTATTTTAAATTAGCTTCACAGCCTTTGGTTATTTCAATTAAGGAACAAATTAAGCCAGAAGATTTTAAATTCAAGGTAAAATTTCAAACGATTTTTTTGGTTTTTGGTACCTTCCTATTTTGACTATTTTTGGTATAATTTTGTGGGCAGATTTATGCTGAAAATTGTAAGTAATTCAAGTTGGAGGCTGAAGAAGTTATTTTTCTAAACATTCTTTTTTTGTCATAAATTTGTCTACAAGATTTTGTTGATTAAATTGGGGTATGAAGCCGTAATGGCAAAACGCCGAACCAAAAACTTTTTTTCGCTGAGGCTTATGTAAGGGGTTAAGAGAAATGGTAGGAGTGTTTGCCATTTTCTTCTGGGAGGTTGACATTACGGCCTCATTTCACAGGTTTGCCATGTCGACGGCTATTAGGGGTTTGCCATTATGGATCATTTATCCGATTTGTCATTTCGTCGGCTTTTGGAGGCTTGCCATTACGGCATTTTGCCATAACGGCGCGCTACGTTAATAATTTTTAATTAATTTTTTAATAGCAGAAAATATTTTTCAAATTTTTTTTTATTTCCCAAATTCTTTTAGTTGCCTATTGACGCAGATTCCAATCCTTGTTTATGTTCTTATTCAAATTCTCTACTTTCCTCGTTGCATATTCTTTATTCTTCTGATTATTTTCTTCCTTCTTTGGCAAATAAATTTTGGGAATTTACACTTCAACGAATGCAAGATTATTTGGGATGGGCGCAATCAATAATAGAGTTTGTAATTTAATTTTCTAAATAACTTTTAAAATTTTATTTTCAGTTATTTTACTATATCAAAGAAACAACAACTAGACACTAATAAATCAGCACAATCCACAATATCTTCAGAACGAAAGTCTGTCTCTCCTGTTGCTTTTAAAGGTTTTTAATTTATACATATGATTAAATTAATCACAGGGAGACATTTTGAACTGTATGTGAAAATTTTGTATTTTTTGCACCATCGTGTAGTGCTGGGTTGATAACATATTACCTAACTGATGGACACTCGACTGCTCCAAGATTCGAAAACTGAAGCTCTATAACTTTTCGAAATTTGGGTCAGCGGATGAAAAGCCAAAAGTTGGCAATAGGTTATCGCCCCTGCTTTACATATGGTGCAAAAAAAACTACAAAAATTTTACATAAAGTTCAAAATGTCTTCTTGTCAGAATTGTTATCAGAAGTTTCAAATAAAAAAGTGGTTTTTGCTGGAAAAATGAAACAATAGTTTAAGTTTCTTCTATTTTTCTAGACAAAAATGCCAAAAACTACCGAACATTTTTATTTCTTTCTTTTATTAAATAGTTACTAACAAAAAATATTTTTTAAGAATCCTCTAATCAAATAACTTCTAATAATATTACTTCTCAATCAATACCAACATGGCTCGCTCTTGCTGCATTATCTCGTGATTTGCAACTTTTTGACACCAATCTTTTTCAATTTTGTCTCTCCACCATGTTTGCTATATTATTTTTAAATAAAAATTGTAAAATTATTTTTAGTTGGGATTATCTTCGGCAATTGAAAATTGACCCAACACCTTTTGGCCAATGTCTTTCACTATTCTCTGGTCAATTATCTGAAAAAAGAAAGGAAATTGAACAAAAACTTTTGGAAATACTTGTAGGGGAATTGGCTAAGGTCTTTAAATTTATCAAAATAATTTGAATAATTTTATTTTTTTGACAGAATCTTTCTGCCGTTAGCGACATTCCTCGTCAATATCGTTGGACAAAACGTCCTCAACCTGTTGGATTCTCTACTTATTTGACTTCTTCTTTTGAAATATTTGAACGATTTGCGGAAGAAACTGTAAATAAATTAGGATTTGATGAAATGGAACTTAATCATATTAGAAGCCAAGCAATGATAATTGCTTCTAATGATTTTTGTGAACGAGCTGAGAAGGTTTTTTTTTGGGTTTTTAGGTTTATTTTTTATTTTTATTAGGTTCTCGATAGCGTTGAACAAACTGGTTCATCACTTTTGAGATTTAAACAAAGAAAAGCTTTAGCTTCTGGACAATCGACTGCTGAGGCTGCAAGTGAATCTGATGAGTCGAAAATACGTACTCAACTTTGTTTTGATGTTAATTTGGTTAAACAGAGAGCTAAAGTAATTTTTTGTAAAAGATACTTTTATTCTATTTTTTGTAGGAATATGGCTTGGCATCTGAATATATGGATAGATTGGAACGGATAGAACAACGAACAGCAACTTCTGAAATTTCAACAAAAATAACGGGCTCTACACCTGAATGTGCCGATTAATATTTGTTTGGTTTTCTAATTTATTTGCTTTTTTGGAATTTTAAAGAAAAATTATATTTTTTTAATTAAGTAAAATTTTATGCAATTTTTGACCTTTTAAGCCTTGTGATAGATTATAAATCAATAAAATTGTCGATTCACTTAATAAATATTTAAAAATAAATTATTGTTTATCTTAATGATTTTAATTGATTAAATATTTTTTTAATATTTGATTTTTATTTTTATTAATATTTAAATTGATATGAAATTTTTTAAATTATTCAGAAATTATAATTTAGGTTTGACAGTTAAATTTTTATTGAAATGACTTCCACCACAAGTTGGGCTGATATTCAACGACTTGCTGCAGATTTGCAACGTGTTCAACTTGCTGAGAGCAATAAACAAAGGTTTTAAGTTTTATTTATTTCTGATTAGATGTGATGACTTTTAAGCTGAAATTGGTGTTGTTAACGACCGATTTTAAAACTTAAAATTTTGATATTTTTTGCCAAGAATTAACTTTTTACAAAATTTAAAAAATCGAAATTTTCTGAAAGTGATTTTTTCTAGAAATTTCCCCAGAATAAAACCCGTATCTAACCGAAAACAGGGTTTTAAAATTTGGATTAATCTAAAACCGGGGGTACCGGTTAATAACAGGTAGTTAACAACCCTAACTGAAATGTTTTTAAGGTTAACTGAAGCTAATTGTGTAGAAGTGATCAGCATGCTTATTTCGATGGGATCTATTGATTTAGTTATTAGTTCTGATGGAAAGGTATACCAAATTGCTAAATTAATTAAATATTTTCTAGGAGTATGTTACTCGAAAACATTTACAAACAGAATGTGCAAATGAATGCTTTGCTGCGGGAGGCAGAATTTCTCTTACTGATTTGGCCTCGCAATTAAATGTAAATCTTGACCATATTTCTGGAGCTGTTAACCAATTAGTTAGACAAATCGATCACGAAGAAATTGATTTAAATGTATCTACTTCAAATGATTTTGTTATTTGTGCAGGAGAACTTATTCATCGGTCTGATTTTTCCTTCTAATTTTTAGGGTTGGGTGATTAACTGGTCTTATAAATTTCAATCGATTTTATCCTTTATATTCCTTATTTAGTGATTTTATTAATGGGTTGTGTGCAAAATTGAATGAACAACTAGAAGAACTTGGAACTATTTCTATGCTTCAACTTACTCGACAATGGGAGGTTTATAATTATCTAAATTTTATTAAAAAAATTTCTTTTCATAGCTTCCAACTGAACTTCTTAATCAACATATTTTGACGGAATTGGGCACTGGGAGAATATCGGCAATTCGTTTTGAAGATTATCTGTGCACAAATCGTTATATTAATACATTGAAAGGCAAATTCCGTGCTATACTTATTGGACTTACTAAACCTTGTCCTCTAACAGAAATTTATTCATATTTGGCAGTTAGCGAGTCTTTTTTCTTTCTTTTATTGAACGAATTAAATGATCAAGGTTCTTTAAAATAAAATTTAAGTAAAAATATTAATTTAAAGGGAAATTACCTGGAAAACTTTTAGGAACAAAAAATTCAATTAAATCGTTATATGTGCCTTTTATTCATGAAAGAATGGCTAAACAGTTTATTTTACAGCGTTTGTCTGAAGAACATTTTATTGGTAAGTTGAATATTTTCTTTTAATTTTAGGTAGGATTAATAAGTTCCAAACAGGCCCGTAGCCAGGGGAAGGGGGGAATTTGACGCTTTCGGCATCAGAACTTCGGCGCAGAAAAATTTTTAGTGACATCTATCAAGGGCGTATCCAGGGGGTCGGTTTCGGGGGGGGGGGCTAACACTGGGTGGGCGCAAAAATTTTTGGCGTTTACTTTGGCGTTCCTACGGCAAATTTTTTTGTACATAACTTTTTATATTTTCAGCGCCGCAGGCGAAAATTTTTTTAATTTTAGATGGCCGTAGGCCAAAAGAATTCCGTTTTTTGCGCCGCAGGCTTAAATTTTTTAAAATTCGAAGGCCGTAGGCCAAAAAATTACTTTTTCAGCGCCGCAGGCGAAAATTTTTTGGAATTTTGAGCCCAAGAAGCCAGATTTCTTCCTTTTTTAGCGCCGCAGGCGAAAATTTTTTGAATTTGGAGGGCCGTAGGCCAAAAAAGTTCACTTTTTAGCGCCGCAGGCGAAAATTTTTTGGAATTTTGAGCTCAAGAAGCCAGATTTCTTCCTTTTTAGCGCCGCAGGCGAAAATTTTGAGGATTTTGGAGCTCAAGAAGCCAGATTTCTTCCATTTTTTGCGCCGCAGGCGAAAATTTTTTGAAATTTGAGGGTTGTAGGCGAAAAAATTTTACTTTTTCGACCATCCTTCTCCTAATTTTTTCCTCCTTTCCCCCATTTCGGGGGGGGGGGGCTCTAGCCCCCCCCCCCCCAGCCCCCCCCTGGATACGCCCTTGACATCTATGTAAAACGATGTGGTTATATAGTAATTTCATTTTTCTATGTTATTGTTTAAATCATATTCTTTTTTAGAATGTTCTATTATGAAACGTTTGAGTATATCTGGTGAACCAATATCATTTTTCCGTGAACTACTTCCATCTACTGAATTTAATGACTTGCTCTTTTGGCCTTCTGTTGTACTTTCTGAATCACTTTTATGGAAGGAATTTGACTTACTTGCAAAAAATCTTCTTCATTCTATCCATTTTTGTTTAATTGAGGATATTCTTCCTATAAAACTTATTTCTGTTCTTAATGATGCGGATTATTTAAAAATTGTTGAAATTTTGCAGAAAGGCTGGAATGAAGGATATTTGAGGTAAAAAATAAATTTTAGATTTAAATTATGTTTAGAACAACAAATGATCGTCGTGTTATTTTCGATCATTCAAAATTACTTTCAAATTGGTTAAAATCAGTCGAAGAATTTATTCATGAAAGAGCAATTAAAGATGCACCAGAATTACGTAAAGCACAATTAAATGCTGCAATATCAATCCAAAAACAATTAAATAAGGAAGAGAAAAAACAACAAAAGGATGATGATTGGGAAATAGAAAAGCCATCAAAAGGAGGGAAAGGGGCTAATAAAAAGAATCGTTCAGGTGGAGGTTCTTCTCATCAGACTTCGAGTAAAAATTAGATTTCTGTTAAAATTCTTATGTTTTTGTGTGTCCATTGTTCTCTTTTCCACCTTATTTTCCATAAGACGTACTTTTTAAATATCACCAATTCTTTACCTCAAATAAATTTAGCTAAAGAAAGTGAGAATACATATAAACAAGGGTCATGCAAACACATAATAATTACCCAAGATTCTCTTCAGATTTACTTTAAATAATTTATAGGCCGTTCTAGCAAACAAAAAACGGCAACGGAAAGCAACATTTCTAATAAAGATTTACTTTCTTGTGCTTCACCATTTACTTCTGATGAATTATTTACCGAATTAGAACGTTGTCATTCTTCGAGCGATTTTCAAATTCCTGATACTCTTCGTGAAGAAATAGCTGATGATTTTATTGCTGAAGTTAATAATTTATATAGACGTTTTGTTACTGAAATATGGGAACAACAATTACATCAAACAACAGCTGAAGAACAACAAGCACAACGTCAAGCATTTGAACAACGTTTAAATAAAATTTCGGATGAATATACAGCTATTTGCCTTTTTGAAAAAGGAGCTGATTATTTTGAAGAGGGTAAAAAATTTTTAAATCAGGGCTCTCTTAAATATATTTTTAAAGCAATTTGTACTTTTTTCGGGTTTCCTAACTATGATTTTGCACGTGGGCTACAAACTATCTCTATGAGTCTTAGAAATTTTGAAATATAATTTTATTGTTGTTTTTTTATTAACGTTTGGAGCTAAAAACATAAAAATACCTTTTCGGAATTTTTGTTTTTTAGTAATTGTATAACTTTTAAATTTGGTCAAAAACATGTTAAAGATGTTGAATAAAATTATGTGCTAAACTAGAGAATTTAACTAAAAAATATTAATTTTTCTCATATTTTATTAGAGAGCACTAAATTGAATAATATAAAATACCTATTTTAAATTTTCAGATCAATTAGCCAACGATTTACGAATTTATTTGCTTCGCTCTCTCTGTACAGAATTATCACATTCTCTTCTCTATACTATCTCAGACTTTAATTTATCCCAACAATCTCCTCCACAACCAACAATTTTAAATAATAAACAACGTGATCATTTAATAGATTCATTAGAATCTGTAGAAATGCAAAAATGTTCTCGACATCTTTTTACCTCCCTTGATACTTTAGAACATTTTCATGAAGCATTTCAACGTTTAACAGCAATGAATGGCTTAAAGTTAAGACAGCCAGATAGAAAAGAAAGAACCCAAAAATTAGATTTATTTGGTAAAGAATTGCATAAACAAATTTTGGAATGTACAGATCCCCCAACAACTCTTCTTTTAACTGTTATTTTATGTTTTCAATTATATTATAGAATTGCTATTCATGCATCCGGTTTTTAATTAATTTATAATTAAAAAAATATTTTTTAAGGTAAATTTGTCTCCCCATTAATTCATTTTCTTTCAACGGGAACATCTGCTATTCCTCCTGATTTGGTTAATTTATTAAATGAAATACAACATTTAGTAGTGGCAAGTATTAAACATAAAGGTGAATCATCAGAGAAAATAAAGAATGATTTGATGGAGAAATTAGTTAATTTGAAGACTTTCTTTTCTTATTCTGATCAAGAGGAAAAACAAGAAGAAAAGGAAGAGGAATAATCAAAAAAATACGGGGTAGATGAATTTTGTAAATATTTAAGTATTCTAAAATTTCTAAATTATTTGAAGAATAACGGCTTTTTTAATTTTTTTTAGTAGTCTTACCTAGAGTTTGGGGTATTGGTAGCTTAGAAATATTTTAGGGAAAATTCTAATCAAGTCAATAATGTTAATGGTTGTCAGAATATGTAAATAAAAAATAAATTAAACTCCCTCACCTTTAAAATTAAATTGTTTATGTTAGTAAAATGTATAGATTTTGAAATATTTTTTTCAAATAAATTTTAAAAAATGTTTTGACATATTTTGTAAAATAACTCAAAAAATTATTCTTCCTTAGATAGATTTCATATCTATTGAAATATAAATTCGAATTTTTAAAATTTTAATTTGCAAATTAAAAGTGTTTATAAAAATTGTTTATTTTATTTAAAATTTACAAAAAAAATAATTTTCCTTTAACAATCGCCGCATGGAAAACAGAACGGAATCGGTATACAGAAAGGGAAGCAACAACAACACGGAACACAATTACCTCTATCCTCTACATAACGTCGCTGTTCATAACTTAATTTATTTTTAAGAAAAATATTTTTTTTCTTCAAGAAAAATTAAATAAATTTTTTATTTAAATTTTTATTTTTACTTACACAACAGGCTGTGGTGCATTTGGATAGTAGGGGCGATAATTCTTTAAAATTAAATGCAATAAAAATATTTCAAAAATTATTAACCTGCGAGTAAGGCTGTTCTGTGTACATTGAAGTTTAGAGAATTAAAGATTAAAAATTTTAAATTCAAAAAGAATTTATGAGTTGGCTTTAAAAAAAGTTAATAAAAAATAAAAAAATATATTTATTTTTCTATATTTAGATTTATTAAAAATAAACTAAGGAGATATTTAATTCCTTAAATCTTTTTTTAGATTATTTGCATTAATAATAATTAAGATAAAAGGAATTTTTTTATAAAAAATTTTTAAACTAAGGAGACTTTTAAATAAAATTAATTGTCAAATGAAATAATTAAATTTAAAAAAATTTTATTTTTAAAAGAAAAGACAACACCTCTCATGAAATCAAACAATAAACAGGTTTTTCATGGCCATTTTTGTACATATGACTAATCGAGAAAATGAAAATAAAGAAAAATATCGATAATTTTTTTTTAAAAAAGAATCAATTTTTGGGTGGAATTGAAAGTTTTGATTAAATAAATTTTTGAATTCGAGAATTAAAAATATAAAATTGAAAAAATTGTCAAAGTTTTGTTAAATGGAAAAAAACTATAATAAAAGGGAAAAACTAAAGGAAAAGCTTTGAGAGAAAATGATGTTGGTTGTGTTAATGATGTTGGCTGTGATTGTTTGCTGTGTTATAATTTAAGTATTTTGATGAATATAGTAAAAAATTTAAATAAAAATTAATTCATTTCTTAAAATGAATGTTTGGTTACAAATATAAATATAATATATACCGTAAATCTTCTAATAGAAGCACAGTGCTTGCATTTTTCGATCCTCTCATAGGGTGTGCTTATATTAGAGGTGTGCTTCAATTAGATGTGTGTTTCTATTAGAAGATTTTCGGTAATTATAAATATAATTAGAAGCTAATTATATTTATTATCTCTTCTAAAGTGTATAATCAAGTTGATAATCATGCACTTCTACCTTCCATCTTCCGATGTTTTTAAAGCTTCTGTTCTCGCCTCTTTCCTCTCGTCTCTTGGATTTTTTGCACATTCATGATTCTGTCGGGCAGGGGCCGGTAGGAAATGAAGAAAGTGCCGAAAATTATTGTAAACTTTCGGAATTCCGACCGACCTCTGCTACCAACTTATGTACATATATTTGTTAGAAAGTTTATTTTATTTATTTATAGTTTATTTTCCGAGCTTTTTAATTTTTTAGTTAAAGTTTCATTGAAAACGTTTTAAAATATTTTATTCGGAAATAAATATAACCAAAATATACATACATTATTTATGAACTAAATAATTTAAAAAATTTATTATTTTATTTCAAAAATATTTTTTTCTTAATTTTTAATTTATTTTAAATATAAAGTTTCGATTCTCGGACGTGAAGTCTCTTTTTAAATAATAAAATTAGCTATTCAAATAATTAATTCGAAGCTACCAACATACCATCTACCTAATCCTGTGGTTTAAAAAATTTTTCTCCCTCTGTAAATCTAAAATTATTTAACTAAAAAAATTTTGAATTCTCGTAAAATTTAAACATAAATATTTGTACAGCAATATAAATTTTGCTTGTCTAGAATTCCTTCCTTCTCTTTTTATTTTAATCAAAATTATTGGTTAAACGAATTTTAAAGTCAAAATTATTTCCTCACTCCTCTCATTTCTTCAATTTTTAGGCAAAATAAAATTAGCAATTTCTAAAGTTATTTATTTTTAAGGACGTGGAAAGTTAACATAAAGTAAATATTAAAATAAATTTTCACTTAAAGTAAACCAACAAATTTATTTTTGTTGGATTTATACAAGTATTTTATAGTCTTTACTTCCTTATTTACAAATATTTTTATTTTATTCTCATACAGTATATTTTAAAATATTCTCGTGAATCTTTATTTTTTTAAAAATAATTTTGAAAAAATATACATTATAATTAATTAATTAATTTTCTATTTATTGCTTCCGTATCTTTTCTTTCATAATTAAAAAATTTATTTTAATTATTCTATTAATTTTAAGTTTTGTCTAATTTTAAAAAATTATTTTGAATGTTATTAATTAGTAAAGGCTTTGCCCTTTTATTATTAATATTTTTAAATGCTAACTTAATTGAATCAAAATGCTCCTGGGATGTTAGTTTAATAATTAAAAAATTAACTTAATAATTTAAAATTAGGAGTCGAAGAGGGGGGGGGGGTGGGGGGTGTTCTCGTATGAGTCCTATGTAGCTCCTCGTATCCTCTACTCTCACTAAACAAATTTTATTTTCCGATTTTTTTCTTAAAATTTTGACCGAAGCTAATCTCCACTTAAAAGCCACATACAATAGTCGTATTTAGTTGAATTTAAAAAATTACTGTAACAGAATTTTTATTTTAATTAATTAAGAATTGCCCTAAATGGTCAACTAATTCATCTGTAATTAATGTACATTTAATTTGTCATTCGTAAGGAATAAAATTAAATTTAAATTTAAAAATATATATTTATAAAATAGACATGATGATATGGGGTGGTTAAAAACTGTTGATGATTATTATACTGGAGGTATTTTTAGAAAAAAGAGATTATTTAAATTTAAAATTAAATTAAAGTAAAAAACTACTAAATTATTTATTTTAAACTAGAGATCGGCACGGGAGGGATCCGGGAGTGATTTTACGGGATCCCGTCTCGGAATCTCGTGGTTTTAGCGACGAACGGGACTACCGGGGTTTACGGGATTAATCCCGAGGATCCCTCCCGTTCGAACTTTTCAATCTTAATCGATACGGGATCCTGGAAATGTGATTTTGCCTATCTTTATTTTAAGATTAATTTTGTTTAAATTAAAAAATAAAATAATTTAAAAGCCAATCCTTCAATATTTAATGTCGGTGTTCAATATATATTAAGTACTGTAGTAGCAGCTTTAAATAAAAGCCCCTCTCGTCGGTTTTCTTATGCGGAAACTGGGTTTTTAACAATGTGGTTAGAAGATAAATATTCTGACGAAATTGAAAATATGAGAAAATTAATTGTTGAAAAGGGTACTTTAATTAATTCTTTTAAACTTTTAGAGACAATTTTAGTTATTTATAAGCTTCTCGACTAAAATTATTTTTAGATTTTAATTTATTACAAATTTAGTGTCGTCAAAATATATCCAAGCTTAATTAAATTGGGACAATTCAAAATTTTTTTTTTTAAATAATTGTGACTAATTTTGACTTTATTTCCATTGTTTTTACACAATGAAAGTGTCAAAATCAGTCACAGTTATTGTGAGGATTTTTTAGAAAAATTAAAAATATTGTTGACATTAATGTGTTTATTTTGGCATAAATACTTTACGATTTTTTATTAATTAATTTAAAAATTATATTATAATTATTTTAAAATTTTAATAATCAAAAATATTTTCAGGCCAATTAGAATTAATTGGAGGTATTTTAAATAAAATATAATCACTAAAATAAAGTCCCGTGTATTTTATTTGTCAAATCTATATTATAGGAAACTATTAATAGAAAAATATGATCTTTTTTAGTTTCTCAACTTTATTTATTACTGTTAACAAAAATTTTAGAAATCCATTGTAGCTTTATTTTGTAAGTGTGGGGAACTTTATTTTACAATTATTTAAAAAAAATTAATTTTTAATTAAAAAAAGGTGGTTGGACACAGCCAGACGAGGCATGTACTCACTATTATGAATTAATTGATCAATATAGTTTGGGATTGAGAAAATTAGCGAATAAATATGGTTAATTTAAACACTTTAAAAAATATATAAATTTTAAGGAAATTGTGGAGTCCCAAAAGTTGCCTGGCAAATAGATCCTTTTGGGCATAGTAGTGAACATGGAAATATGTTAATTAATGTAAATATAAATATTTAATTTAAATTAATTAATTTAAAAAAAGATTGGTTATGAAGCCCTTTTCTTTTCTCGAATGCATTATTTGGAATTAGAAAACAGAATAAAAAATAAAAGTTTGGAAATGTTATGGCAGACAGATGAAAATGGTAATGTCTTTCTAAATTATTGTTAAAAAACAGACAATCATTTTTTAATAATAATTTATACTGGGTGATCAGAAAGTAACCACAGACTTCATTTCATCATAATTTTTCCCCCTCATACATTTTTTAATATTTTCTACTCATTTTATACCCAAACAATTCTCCTTCATATTCCTTCTGATTTAATGAATGAGGAGGCGCGAATTATTGTCAAAAATTTTTGCACGCATTTTCAACCCCGTATCCAATGGCACTTCTTAAATTCCTGATTATGTATATCTGCTTCTTAATTAGTTCACTATCATTTAGGCTTTATTAGATCTCATTATCTTTAATTCGAATAAAGTTATGCAGTCAATTTTTTAAATAAGGTGTGCAGTCAATTAAATATCTAGATTATCTCAAAAATTAATAAAATATATATGTAAATAAACATTTAAATTAAAGGAGATGCTACAAGGTCTTTATTTACAAGTACCTTCTCCAGAGGAACATATACACAACCTAAAGGATTTTGTTTTGACCCAACTTGTCCTTATCCAGATTTTATAATAGACAATCCAGAATTGGAAGGATACAATATTGACCAGAAATTAAATGATTTTTTAAATATTGTTAATGAACAGGCTAAAGTTCAAAGACATAATCATGTTTTAATTGCAATGGGTGGAGATTTTACATATTCAAATGCTGAACTTTGGTTTAATAATCTAGACAAATTAATTTTGGCTGGGAATAAAAAAGTAAATATTTGATTTAAAAATTATTTTAGCTTGCGGAAAAATTTTTGAAATTTTTTATTTATATGAACGGACAAAGGTAAAACTTTGGTAAATAGGGGCTGATAACCATGTGTTGAGTTTGGATAGTTGTTGGACCTGATAGGTCGATGCTGGGCAAGTATGAATGTGGAAATCTGATCATTCTCCTCCCTTCTCCCATCTTTGCCTAAAAATATTAAAATTATACTTGTTTAAAAAAGACAATATTTAACGAAATATTTTTTTCTAATAATTTTTACTTATTTTAAAAGAAAAACATAACAAATGTAAATATATTTTATTCAACCCCAACTTGTTACATAAAAGCTTTAGAACAA